GGGGAGATGGTTACGGGTTGCACAATTGTCCCGTGGCGGAGGCCGGAGTGGATCGAGTCATAATCCAAGAGTGGGATTACTGAGGGGGAGATTATTGCAGGTAACATCAATTGTCCTATGACAGAGGCTAAGTGGGTCGGACCACAATTGAATCTTGGGGCTTAGACTGTTACTCTTAAGTAAAAAGAGTTGCGCTCTGACTATAAGCTATAACTTTTGGCCAAGTGGTAAACGCTCGATCCTAACATTTTTTTGTGCTTTTCCAAGTATACCATTCATGTCTCTAACTCGATCATACACTTGCTCACCAATTAAAGGTATTAGAGTTGTTACATTATTTTTATCCATTAAAGACCTTTGTTAATCTACAGTATGAATGATTATGTTGTAGAGATTTACAATGACTAATGTAACAAGTCTTTTTTTCCTTGTTTCAATTGATGGTGGCTAGTTACTTCTTCACATATAGGACATACATGATGTTATTTAATATTATAACCACTTAGATTCCCTCGAAAGTCATCAATTGTACAAAACAGGGAATCATAGAACTTAAAATTCTCTTTATGATATGCATCAAAGAAATTAATTCCTTCCTCTCATAACAATTTGAAGTCTTTTATCAATGAATTAAGATACACATTTATGTCATTTCTTGGTTGTCTTTATCTAGATATCATCATAAATAACATCATATATTTTTGCTCCATACACAATTAACAAGACAAGTAAAATAAGTCATGGACTATCTTTGCTACTTAAGATACATTATGGGTTAATTTTATTTGTTGCATGACCATGAATAAGGTTCCTTGTGTTATTTCCAAACTCTAAAAGCAAAGAATCAATTGTTTTCATTATGGTGAATCAACTTCATACTATAACAATCCATCATATTTCTATTATTTACATGTCAAGTAAGGTCCAATGAATTATTAATGTTAGCAAATAAACGCTTAAATTGTGGAATAATTGAAAAATACCATAATATTTTTGCATGAGATCTTTTTTTCTTTGTGTTAACATCATCACAATTGTCATTTTTTACTTTGTAGCATGAAACTCCACACCTTAAACAATTATGTAATACTTCAAAGTCTCTTATGTATAATATGTAATCATTAGGACAAATATGTATTTTTTATACTCCAAACCCATTAGATACAATATTTTCTTGGTTTCTAAATGACGAGTGAGTACTTTATTTCCTTTTTTGTAATATTTGATTTAACAATTCAAGTAATTCAATAAACCTTTTATGAGTTCACCCATTTTTTTCCTTAATATTTATCAATCTTTATAATGTTGACAAATGTGTGAATATAACTTGAATACAAAGACATATCTAAATCAGTTTTCAAGATTTGATACACATGAGCTTGCTTAAAAGATTCTTATCCAATCTCGTAATCATGTTTTGTAGTTGATCATCCACATTCATCCAAGAATACTAAGATTGTGACACGCATGAAGTGTTTAATAATTCATCTAAAGTCCAAACTGTATAACTTCATAAGGAATCATCACATCGAATATACTTCCATATCAATTCAACTTGTAATCATATTTCATTAAAACAATTAACACATTTACCTCTGACCCACTACCGATCAACCTTCAACTCGAATACCACTTATTGGGTCTTTCGAGGGGGATTTATTGGGGAGAACAACACCAATGAGACATGAGTTCAACCCACCTAAGGATTGACACCACTTTTAATAAAAAACCTTAACACATTAAGTTATGGGTCAAACTTCCTTATATATTGTTCAACTTTCTCATTCTTATATAACGTGAAACTTATTTTAATTTATTTTAATATTTATAATGTTAACTTATTAGATTATATATTAATGCTATTTGTTACTAAGAATTATTTTAGTTGTTTTATATAATAAATAATGGGACCAATCCATTCATACTTTATACTAGAGATGAAATATATATTTTTTTATATAGTTTAGGGAGAAAACACATATTCAACCCTTTAAATAATATAAATCAAACTCATGAACACAAGCATCAACAAACAACATTTTTACATTTAAATTATACTGATTAAATAAGAAAGATATACATTTAAATTATAAACAATATAATTTTGAATTACCAAATTTACCACTAATAATTAAAATATTATATTTTAAAAATATTAGTATAAAAGAATAAAATAGTTTAATTAAAAAAATCATTTTACTAGTTTATTTATAAATATCTAATTATATTCAATTAAATTAAAAAAAAATAAACAACACAAATCTTACATGAAATTTAAAAAAAATCAAATTAATACATAAGTATTATTATTTTTATAAATATCTATTTTATATATTTAAATATTTAAGTTCATAAATTTATTTTCATTGCAGAGTAACAATATTGTGTCCAATGTTAAATAAAAAAGAAAAGAATTAATGGTGGGACAACTTACATAAATTTTGAAAAATTCATTTCATGAATTAAATTGTTTTTAATAGGGTCTCAAAATCGATATAACTTGGTCAGTGAATTTGAAAGGATAAGAAATAGATAAGATAAGATAACAAAATTATACTTAAATTAAATCAAATCTATTTTGATTATATTTGTTTAGACCATGACCTATTATACCAATCCATTTTATATAATAAAAATTATTAAAAAAAATATTTTATTAAAAAATATACATATATTATAAATTAATTAAATAAAAAAATTATTTCTTATAAAGATGAACATGAGATTAAGTCTTTAACATCCCTTTGTTCTAATATTTAATAATTAAAATAAATTATTATTTTGTATTAATAAATTATTAAAAATTGATAATAAAAACAATTTTGTAGCTTTTATTTTCAGATGAAATAAATTCTTATAATTTATATATTAAATTATTATATCTAAAATAACAATTAATTTTATTAATATAATTAAATTTTAAAAATATATTATTAATTTTATTTAAATAATTTTTAATTAATTATTAAATAAATTATTATTTTTAAAAATTTTAATCAAGTCGAAATTTATAATTTAATCTATTAATCTAACATAAATATTAAACTACACAAAACATTATAGTGCGCATATAATAAACTAAATTGAATAGACCGTTTTAACACACCTACCTTCCGGTGAATAAATTATATAAAAAAAATGTTACTTAAAGAAATAAAAGTATTTTTTTTAATTGAAATCCACATAAGAATAAAAATATTATTATTATTATTTTTCAAATATTTTATTAACTTTTGGAAATACTATATTTTGTATTTTCGATAAATATTTTTGAAATTATGAAACTAAAGAAATATTTATCCTCATGTTTTTTGTTGCACTTAAGTCTCAATTATAGTTTTAATTAATTGTTTTAAACATAAGTTATTGAGTTCGAACTGAATCAGCATAACGCACTTCATTAAATACCACCTACGCTATTACGTAGAACCTAAAAATTCAATATTTATCTAAATTGATATTTTGTAATTAGAGTATTTTAATATATATAAATTCGTTTATATACAAATCGAAAATAAGAATATTGGTAAATTAAATAAAAGATAATTTTATATATAAATTAACTTTAACTACAAAAAATGCTAAACGATTGAATATCTTATGCTTTTGCTCAATTCAATTATTTTTTGATGAAACCGAAATTCATGAAGTCATGATACTAACGTGGTATGGGAAGTGAAATCACATTGATTAAGAAAAATGTAAATGGGGGACCCTAACACAATGGCGTGACGTGAGAATAAAAATGTAGGGACCCTAACACAATGGCGTGAGAATGTGGACCGACTGCTGCTTGTGATTTGTCCAGTTATTGAACCATATTTTCTATAAGTTAGAATGTTAAGCAAATTGACTCATATTTGACCCTTTTGGATTTGGTTAAACCTTCTCAACAAAGAACATTCCATTATCTACAAGGAATGTCGACGTAGTAGACTAGTGCAATGTTGGACACTGTTTCAATAAAACTATTCACTTGTCAAGAGAATGGTGAAATCTGCTATCTTTGGTACAAAGAGAAAACAGGAACGACTGCTGCTACCAGGTCATGTTCTATTTCCCTATCTTGGACTAAGTAATGGAAGCTCCCAAAGAACGTTAGGTAAAACTAGAAGTTACATAATACAAACTGAATGTTTGTAGGGCTAACTCCATTTAACCTGAATTTGGATTGTCCTTTTCTATTGGGTTTTGTTTATTGGAAACACCGTCAAACAAATAGTGAATAAGCATAATGTGCAGTTTTTAAAGTCAATGGAACAAATTCCTTGACTACCCCTTTGGAATTTGGATACTGGGGGAGGGCCTAACACTCAAAGCAAAGATGGCATCTCCCCTTTGGAATCCACTAAACTTCCCTTTTCTGCTTTCATCTTTTTCTTTCTCTATAAATTTTGAGGTGCTTCTCTTGTCTTCAAAATTTTGCATATTTAGAACTTGCGTCCTTCTTACGCTTTGGTTGTCCCAGAACTATTTTATTTGCTTGTCATAAGCCAAGCACCTGGAAATTGGCGGGTAAGTTTCTTTTGCATGTTGTATCCGTTTCTCTTGTTTAATCTATTTCATATCTTGTTAGGCATTGGACAACATTTGGAATTTGTACTTCACTGAAACCTCATCTTACAAAATGATTTGAAAAGTTTTAAGAATTGAGAATTTCTCTTGAACCTTGTTTATGCATTTGATGTTAGTTGGAGACACTATTGTTATCAAAGACACTAAATGAAAATAATAATTCCTTTATCCCCCTCCCTCTACTTTTGATATCAAAGACACTATTGTTAGATTAATACTATGCAGTTTTCAAATTGAAACTATTAATTTTAATCCTTGATCATTACTGGAATTTGCTTTATTTAAGAGTAGAACAGTATATTTTCCATGACTAGTACTAGTGGCAAATTAACACATGATTAACTTCATTTTTTGTTTCCCTGTCCCTCGTTCCAAGGATGGTTAATCTTACCTTTTGCTTTCTTCTGAAGTCTTTGCCCAATAAAATGGGAGTAATAATGTCTTGTATTGGTAAGTCAAGCAAGAATATGTGCTTGGATGACAAGATTGAGAGGAAAATAGCTGAAATGAGAAGATATAAATTTGGACAAAGCAAACTGAAATCAGTTGATAGTATAGTTATGCTGTTCCCTATGTTCAAGGAGAGACTGAAAACATTAAGAGGAATGTTTGAACAGTACGGTAAGTTTCAAAAACAGCCCCAACATTGTTTTATTTATAAGCCACGGCTCTTAACTTTTGGTAGAAAAGTAAAATGCTTTATGTTGTATCTTTCACAGATGAGGATTCTAACGGATCTATAGAACCCAACGAACTAAAGAAGTTCTTAGAACATCTAGAACTTCATCTAAAAGAGCAGGAGATTGAGAATCTTTTTCAGTACTGTGATCTTGATGACAGCAAGGGCATACAGTTCAATGAGTTTATAGTTCTTCTATGCCTCATCCATCTACTAGAAGAACCTTCATCCTCTAATTATGTACTCATCAGAAACTTAATTTTATGCTTTCTTGATCTCGAAATTGATATATCCGCTAAAAGTATGCAATGACTACATTGTGATTATGTTTTTCTCTCAGTCATCTAAAGCAGGGTTAGAACAGGTTGGAGAAATTTTTAATACCATAGTTGAGGCCTTTGTGTTTTTTGATAAAAATGGTGATGGGAAGCTTAACCAAAAGGACATGGTCAGGACACTGAATGAGACCAGTCCTCGTGAAAGATCCCCAGCGCGCATCTCTAAACACCGATTTCGTATTATTTACTTCACTTCAATTCTATAGCATGATCTGTTATTACATCTTTCATTTCTCCATCCTAATTTGAACGCTACCATTCTGATTTCCGTTTCTGATTTTGTCTTCCTTGCAGAAGAAATGGACTGGGACAAGAATGGTCAGGTCACGTTCAGGGAATTCCTATTTGGTTTCATTAATTGGGTTGGGATTGATGCTGATGAATAGATGCAAGAAAAGAAGTTATACTGCAGAGAGAAAAGTTTGAAGGTAGATTGTGATAAATGTGTGTGACTTTGACTTGTCTCCTTTTATTAATATTGTGTTAAAGAGAAATTTATATACTTTGCTTGTGGAATTGAAAACTAGAAAATTGAAGTATGAGTATAAACTCATGATTTTTGCCATGCTTCACCATAAAGACACACTTATACAGAAGACTTCTTTTATATACAATACAACCCAGTACAGATAATAAGTAGACAAAATAGATAAAACATGGAGACAAAAACAAGATAGAGCTTTCTCTATTTTACAAAAATTTCAGTCCCATTAGGTAAGTTTCATGTCCTACAATTTCTTACTGTATTCCAAGAGCTTGGATTCTCTTAATCATTGACAAAGAAGAATAATTTCTTTCTCTCCATTCTTCCCTGCTCTCCTTGTTATTCTGGACAAGTAATTTGTCGTTGCCATCAAGGATGCTTACTATTTGTCTCATGCTTGGTCTTAACTGCGGGTTACAACGGGTGCAAGCAATTCCTAACCTTAATAATCTCATCAATTCTTGGTCATTGTATTCTCCATTGAGTCTAATGTCAGCTAGTTCCTTCAATGGTCGTTTTCTCATCTCAAATTCGTGAACCTTCTTCACCAAAAGCACCTCTGGTTGCCTGAAATCTACTGCCATCTGTCCACTGACAATTTCAAGCACCACCACACCAAAACTATAAACATCAGCTTCAGTGGTTGCTTCACCTGATTCCACGTATTCTGGTGACATGTAGCCGAAAATCCCACGAACAGATTTTCTAGTGTCAGCAACTACATGATGACCATGCTCATTCCTTGACAAAAATTCTGCAAGAGCAAAAGAGCTGAGTCTTGGATTCATATCTTGTTCAAGAATGACAGCTGAAGAGGTAATGTTTCTGTGGATCACTTGTTCATCCCATTCCTCATGTAGATAGAGTACTGCAGAGGCCAGTGCTTTCACTATGCTGTACCTGTGATGCCATTGGAGGACAGAAGCCCGACTTCTGTGTTCATTGTTATGATGCATAAGCAGCTGGCTGAGAATTCTACTTGCTGAGTAATCATAAATAACAAGCATCTCTCCTTGCTCAGTGCACCATCCCCGAAGTTGAACCAAATTTCTATGGCGAAGCCGTCCCAAATTCCGGAGTTCAGTGGAGAATCTATCACGCAATGCAGGACATGTCTTCATCCCAAGGCGTTTCACCAAAACATGGCATTTGTCATCAAGGATGCCATGGTAAGCAGTTCCAAAGTCTAGCTCCGCCACCCTTCTTGAATCTGAGAAGTTATGTGTAGCAGAAACAATCTCCTTGTATGAAATTTCTCTCGGAGTTTCAACCACAGGAAATGGTTGCTGGCGGTACATGCTCTTAGAAGAGATTATTCCACTGTTTTTATACTCAGCAGTTACGTACACAGTTTCACCTGCAGCTGTGACGTAGTTTGATGAGGTATAGTTGGTGTTTATGCTAGCATTTCCTGTGGTAGACGTAGTGCCACTTGTGCTGCTAGGACTATGACTAGTATCAGATGGGGAAGACAAAGAGATGTATAAAGGGTGGGAAAGAAAAGAAGGTAGTGATGGTAGCTTAATAGAAATGTCAGAAAGAGCTTCCACAACCCATTTCATGCTTGGCCTCAATTGTGGATCATGGAGTGTGCAGAGGAGGCCTATGTGAATGAAATGCTGCATCTCTGAAAGCTTGTAGGATCCATCTGGTAACCTTGTATCAGCTGCTTCCAGAAGCTTCCCTTCATCACAAAGCCTTCTAATCCAGTCAAGCAAAATGATTTGTTCATCTGGGTGCGTGAGATCAATTGCTCTCCTTCCAGACGCCACCTCTAGCACAACAATCCCAAAACTGAAGACATCAGATTTGGATGTAGCATGACTTGGTTTCTGCAAGCTTTCAGGTGGAAGATACCCAATTGTGCCCCCAATTCTTGATGTCTCTCCCAATCTGAAATTACCACTTCTGATTGATATTGTTTTCCTATTGTTATACTTATACTCATACTCAAGCTCATGCTCTAGCCACCTTGCCATGCCAAAGTCACCCAACCGAGCATTGTAATGGGAATCAAGCATCACATTGCTTGTCTTAACATCCCTGTGAATGATTTGAGTCTCTAGTTGCTCATGGAGATAGTACAATGCAGCTGCCAAACCTTTCACAATCTTCCCTCTTTGTCCCCATTCAAGAGGCTTAGGCTTCAAGTGCTCATGCCTGCGAAATAGTACACGATCGAGGCTTCGGTTTGGCATGTAGTCATAAACAAGATGCAACTGATCTTCATTGACACACCAGCCCCTCAGCCTCACAAGATTTTTGTGGCGAAGATCAGCCACAGCTGCTAACTCTGCTGCAAAACTCTTCTCAAACTGCTTTCCTTTCCCTGCCAAACAGCACTTCACAGCAACCACAGTTCCATCACTAGGCAAAACGGCCCTGTACACTTTGCCAAACCCTCCACTCCCTAGTACTTGGTCTTCACTGAAACCATTGGACCCTATGAACAGCTCTGCGTAGCTGAAAATTCTTGGGTTGTCCCTGCCAATGTTGACCGAAACTTGCACACCATCCATGTCATGAAACAACACACCAGAGCTGTGCTTCTCTTTGTGCTCTCCCTTTTGGCAAATTCTCCACCACCCTGAGTCATACAACTTGCCCAAAGAATCACGAAGCAAAGCAAGAACTTGCCCCCCACATGCCCTGTGAGGCTGTTTGGCCTCAACTTGTTTCTTTGGTGTTTGAAAGGGTTCTTCTTGGACACCCTTTTCAATTGGCACTACCATTTCACCAGATTTTGGTGGTAAAACGATGCAGAGGCGATTCAGCTGCATGGCTGAGGCTTTGGTGAAAGGTTTGTGAGAGAAAAAGGTATTTGAACATGGATATTTGAACTTGGTATTGAAGTAGATATTGAGGAGATCCTCTGGTATTTAACAATGACATTTAATTGTTGTTGGGGTGGTGGTATATTTTTCAACGCGTTTAGTTTGAATAAGTTGAATTTTATACGGCTATGGCCAAATTGGAACCTACCTCCAAGGCCATGTCAATGTTTCTTAGAGAGACATATTTATTTATTTATTGGAAATCTTGATTTGTTGCTTGATCTTCTAAGAAAAACCAACTAAGTTGTTTATGGTTTCATATCTTGACATTAATGTGAAACAATAAAGTCAGATGTTTTACGAGAGACATCTAGAAAGGAACGAAGAGATAAGGGAAGACGAAGATTGACCTGCCTTTTCGCTTAATTTTAAATGTACATCAATGTCAAGTCCAATATTCTTAACTTTTACTTGTATGAAGATAGGTGGTAAATTAATATCACTCAATATCTGCGTGAACTTTTTAAATTATCATTATTTTATTATCTATATTTATAGTATATTTAAAGACATTTTTTTTCTCAAATAATCATCAAAATCAATTTTTATTAGTATAAACGGGAGTTTTAGGATTTATTTTACTATTGTTATAGTTTTTTATTTATTTTTAGTTTTTAGAAATTGAAATGTTAATTTGATAACTTTTTTGTGAAAATAATTTTTAAATACAAAAAAATCTGATTTTTTTATTAATTATATATATAATCTATATTTATTATCATTAAATTATAGAAATATTTTTTAGTTTTTGTTGTTTTTTATTATAGTTACTATTATCTTTAATCTAAAATAAATTTTAAATTATACTTATCAAATAATTTAAAAAAAATCAAATTAAAGAAAGTAATCCTTGTCATTAAACACTTTTTTTCTACTCTACTTAAAAAAATAATTTATGCAATATTATTGAATCACCCTACAAAAGCAGTTCTTAAATGAATAAAGAAAGCAATCCTTGTCAAATATAATGTGTACAACAAGTGAAGTGCAAGAACATTTTATAGTAAAAGAAAACTCTTTTTGAGCGCAGGTTTTGGGCATAGAGACAAAAGTTGTACATTTCCAATAGTTTCAAGACAAAATTGTGCAACTGTTAGGTTGAATTTTGGTGAACTCCATTAATCCAAAACACAACAAAACTGCACCAACTAGCATTACAAAATGGAAATATATTTGCCAAACTCCCAGTTTAGCTGCTAAATCTGACTTCATTTGATAACAACCACGACCACCCAACTATGGTTAACTAATGGGAATGCCATTTTAAAAAAAATAGCAATCCAAAAAACGGTGAAATTAAAATAAATAAATAAAAAATATGTTTCACAATATCCTTATCCTCACTTTATTGGTATCTTCCCCCATATGGGTATTAGATTGCTAGATACCTTATCTCCAATTGTTTCGCCACATTTAGGGAGAAATTGGCGCAACTAATAAAATAGGTTTATAAAAGCAATGGGGTCTGAATTTTAATTTTTCACCATTCTCGTGTCATCATATATGTTCCGTTCATTGGTGCAAATAGATCAATTTTACTTGTTAATGATGTATGGTCTAATCTACATTAATTGAAATAAGTTAGATTAAAGCATTTTTGAAAACTTGTTGATTACTATAACCTCTTGGAGGGTTTGTTTAAGTAAATAATTATATGTTAAGTCATTATATATAAGTAATCAATATTTAAATTATTGAAAAGTTTGAAATGTAAAATAAATTTAAATCAAACCTAAACTTAAGTTAAAAAATAAACACAAGCTAAGCCTATATCTCATTATAAAAATTAACCTAGATTAAACCATGGTGGATGTTTTTTACTAGTTTATTCACAAGAGATTTTTAGGAAGTATAAATAATAAAATAAAATAAAGTAATTGTTTATAAGTTAAAATTAATTTATATATAAATAAACATTACCATTTTTGAAAATTATATGAAACAATTTAAAAATTTTAAACTCAACTAATAAGATTAATGTCACTGGTATATTTGTCATAAGAACAAAGTTTACTATTACAAATAGAATAGATTTCAAGTTAAAATAGGAAATGATGTACTATTACAAATAATGATAGCACACAGTTAACAAGATTACTATTATATATATCATTACAACAAAGAGATAACAAAAATTAATTTAAAATTTCAATGAAAAAATATTTATTTGTGTTAAAAAATATATTCTATAACTTTGGAAGTATTTACAGGTAATATGGCAATTATTTTTGTGTTGATAAAAGGATATTCGGTTGCAGCGTGTTGAATCAGCGAAACACGATGTCAACGTAATTTGAAAATTGGAGGAACAAAATACCCTATAAATGCACTTTAGACAGTGTAGGATAAGAAGAGTCACCATCACTCAGACAATGCAGAAGAGAAAATGAATGAATCAATGGATTGATTATATACCTTCAAATTCAAACTCTGTACGATAATATACGTAATGAAATAAAATCTTATCACTTACCACTTTTAGCATTTATAATACGTTAAATAGTTTCATTAAAATTAAAAAACGAATAATATTTTAAATATTAAAATATATTATAATATATTATAAGAGTGAAATATTTTTTCGTTTTTAGATATCAGTGAGTAAGAAAATAAAATAAAGTGATTATAAACCTTAGAGAGAAATGATAATATTCTTAAAAAGAAAATTTATATTAAACCATTCTCACTAACAAATTAGAACTCGTTAAGTAAAAAAATTAATATATTAAATATTTACTGGATTTGGGTCTATTAGTGCATTAATTATATATTTAATAACTTTTTTTATCTTATATGTGTAATTGTACGTGACTGATGAATATATTTATTTACCCCTCTACACACAGAAGATGTGATAACTTCAAATATTCAGCGAAAAAGATGGAGGCTCTGTCAGCAAATAAATAAATGCCAGTGGCCCCTCCCTAGTCGCTGCCTCATGACTTTACATCCCAACTTTTTTTTCTTAGAATAAGATTCAAAAAAGGCTTTGTTTATTGGCTCTACAAAACACAAATATGCCATCAACATATATATAAGACATGAGAGGGAAAATTCATACCCTTTGGACTAGCTATGGCCAGAAATCTGCTTCTGATTGGTAGCTAATTCCGCTATGTAAAAAAGCAAAGGTGAGAGACCCCACATTTACGATTAAAATAAGCTACATACATACATGGCCACCATTAATTCTAATGGAGTGTTTAACAAATCTAAGGATGTTCTCAACCTTAGATTTGAGTAATAGTTCAAAATATGTTGTTCAATTTGAGCCTAACTATGTTATTAAAACAGCTGTTAGTCTTGGCCATTCTTTTGGAGAATTCAGTTTTTCTATCACCACATTTGAACTCATTGGTGGTATTCCAGAGTCATATTCATATAATTCCAAAAGAATTTACTTACTTTAAGGTTTTGCAAAATATTTTTAAACAAAAAAAATAGTTTGTAGCTTTTTTTTTTCATACATTCCCTATTATATTTAGAGGTATTATAAAGATTGAGAAATAATCCTTAAAATTCTATAACAGTTACAGATATATTCTTACATGGCAAGATGAATTCTATAACATCTTGTTTTTCACCGTTACAAATATAAAAATAAAAAATATATTTAATTTTTATACTCGCTTTCATGTTTATTACCTTCTATTAAAATAATAATTAAAAGTTTGTTTATATATATAATTAAAATTGTAAACATAAAAATAAATAATTATTTATTTGGGTGAGGATAATTTTATAAAATAATATTTTATTTTTGTATTTTTCACATTCTTTTTTCATATACAAGGAAAAATAAAGTATGTACGTTATAATGAAAATTGATAAATTTTCTTTTCACTTTTTATGCTTTAGAACAAGGAAAATATTTCCTTTTTGCTTATTATCTTATACTAATCATTTTTCACTTTTCATTTTCCTTGTATACGAATAAAATTTAAAAGAAATATAGTTGCATTAAAATAGATTTAGAAGAGTTTGAAATTTTTGTATTGTTTATACTTACTAGGATATATCATTAACATATTAGGTTAATATATTAACAAACTAAGATATAAGGGTACTCCCGATGACATGTTGTACTTTTTGATACGGGAAAGATAAATATTTCATAAATTTTGAGTAGTTACCTGGACACAATTTTATAAAAGGTTATTACTCATTTTAAGTGTTTTCATAATTCATATCATATTTTTTTATTGACTTAAGTATTGAAAAATCTTTGTACGTAGTTCACCTCTTCTTCTCGTGCAACTCAAAACTAATAGAAATGGACATGATAATGCTTGATCAACCTTACAATCTAGTAAGAACATTTGGTGTTCACTATGGGACAAGATAAAATTATGCCACAACCATCATCTATGATTCAAACAAAGCATCAATAAGTCCTTTCACTCATAGATATGGATGCAACTTTCATAAATTTTAGTCTTAAAGCACACATTGAATAAATGCAACAACAAACAAATACACAAATACAAGCTAACTTGGTTACCTTGTGTAGCAATGAGGATAAACTACGTTCCACTCTCACGGTCATTCAAGAGAAGGCTGCCGAATATTGATAACAATATCAAGAGGAGTTAGAGGTTTTATGCGAGTAGTTGTGAGAAATTGTCCAAAACTTGTCAGATCAACCAAAACAAATTGAGAATGTGCAGATACTATATACAACTGCAAAGTTCTACTCTTTGCAATCTGAGCACCAACGTAAGTTACAATGTCAATTTCACTTTATTCTTAGGTAATATAATGTGTGACTTACTTATTATTGATATGTTACAGGATGATTTAGTTAACACATGTCACTGAAGGCTCATTTGTTTTCCATAGTTGATAGGATATGTTAACGACGGTCATTGGAAGACTGGAAGACCAAATGACCCAGGACGTGTACATGATACTGGTGGATCCTAGGGCCTCCGTGATTACTTTAATCGATCATCACGGAGGATAATTGAATTTTGCAGTTGGGAGACCTTGCATAAGATGGAAATATAATTTGAAGGCAAATTGAATAAGATATGATAATCCTTGCAACAAGAGTTCGATGAGAAGCTTGTATTTCTTACTCGTTTTAAGTAATAAACTCAAGGAACACTGGATACAATCCCAGATGATGTTGTTCAAGTCAGCACTAGAGTGAGTTGTGCTACTACTCATTGATGTGTGAGTTATATGTTCAAGATGACTCCCATGAACATTAGTAAAGTTTTTTAAGTAATTTAATCATTCATGGTGTCCCTCTATAACCGGACTGGATGTGCATAGTAATTGATGAAGTTAAAGATGTTGTTACTCCAATGCCTCTACTTAATCCAAGTAGTGGGGTAGGCAAGCGACACATTCCTGGCTTGACCAAGACGTTTGGTGATGCCACTCTTAACATAAACAAATGTAATCTATATTGTATTCCTTATCTCACTTTTGTATTTTTATAATTCTTAATCAATCTTTATAATTTATTTAAGATTTTATGCATCGTAGTAAGTAGGTTATTTGAGAACTTGTTATTGATGATAAGGATATGACAAATGTTAAAGATGATTTTATATATAAGATTATGACCATATTACCACGGTTAAGGAAGAAACAATATTAGATATAATGAGATAACAAAAATTTTAAATTGAAAATTTGATTGTACCACTTTACATTTTCCTACTTGATGCATTAGAGATTATTGGAGGAAATTATATATTAAACATTTCTATTATCCAACTATGAATCATATAAGTTATATGTTCATTTATGTTTATCACATTACAATAATTATATTTAATTCATAATTCACTTTTTTAGGTATATTAACAAATTGAATGTGTAAATAAGAAATATACGAATTTATTGAGTCTCAATCTATAAACATATTTTAAGAATACGAAGGTCCAAATTTAATTATATATATATATATATATATTAAGTGTTAAATTAATATTTTAGATCTTTCAAGATTTTATCAAAGATGATATGATAATTAAGAGAATATTTTTTTTTAAATTTAGTTTGTATTGTATTATAACTTCTAGTTACTATTTTGAATATTGGGTAATTTAATGTAATAATTATATATTTTAACTTTTAATTAATTTAATTTTAACTAATTTAGCTTTTAATATTTTAGTAATTAGTTTAAGTAATTTACTTTTTATTTAATTGGATAGTTTTAGATAAAAATATTATATTTTGGATAAAAGAGTGTTATATTTTGGATTGTTTTTATTTTATTGTATCATCTGTACGGTTGTTTCAACAAATTCCAATGAGGATGAAACACATGTACCATTCCTTTCACGGATTTACTGCTTTCAACGTGTTGGAAGAAATGAAATCACTTACTCAACTGGGAATTACTAAAAATGGACTGATATCACCTCATTTGGCTTGAGAATTACAATTATCATGCTATATATTAGCAATGCATTTAAATGAAATATTATATATATTCAGTTTGTTATAATTAAGGACAGAATTTATATAATATATTATTGTAATTGATATTGTTTTTTAATTAAATATCTATTAAATGCATTAGAGTTTGTATATTGTAATTTTTTCTTCTGTAACGCTCCGTTTTTGCGAGGAAAAATATAGATTAGAAAGATTAAAAAAAGTAACAATTCTTTTTATTCAGTAATAGAAAAATGTTATTTTATATTAATTAATATATTTACTTTCTTCTCGTAGAAAACAAATATTATTTTATAAATTATTCTTACTTAAATAAATTATTATTATTTTTATATTTATATTTTTAATGTATATACTCTTAATTATTATCTTAATAAAATATCATAAATATGAAAGTGATTATAAAAATTAAATTAAATAAAAAATATATAATTTAAAAGCATTATTTTAAATAATGATATAAGTAATTTTATAATTAAATAAATATTTAATTTTAATTTAATTATTTATGATTTTCAAAATAAATATTTTATTAAAATGCTCTCCGCTCTAATTATTTTATTTTTTCTCGCATCTTCTTTTCTTGTATGCATACAAGAAATACCTAAAGGCTTCCTGATGGAATTGTTTATATACAAAATGAGTGTTCAAATTGGCGCGTGGCTGATTTCCTTAAGACACAGCACACAATCCATCCAACGTTCTGAATGAATTCCTGTAAAGTAACAAAGGTTTGTGGGCCCCGCAAAGCAGTTTAGTGGACCCCAACCTGTGTTTCCGATTTTCAAATTTCAAAAACGCAAATGCAACTTTCGTTAAGACAAGAAAACGTCTAAAACGGTGCGTACCTCGCTGTATCATCGCATATTCCTACTACTCTTTCTCTTCTTCAATTCAACTAGTGGTGACTAGTGCGTGACCTTTGTTTGAAAACGAAAGCCTCAATACAACGCTGTTTTCTCTCTGTTCACCCTCTCTCTCCTTGGAATCTACGTTGCGTTTTTGTGCTCTGCTTCGCGTACGCATTCTAAGTCGTCGTTTCAGATTGTTCGCGGATTTTTAGGGTTTCGTGGAAGAAGATGACGACCATGGAGAGCTTGATTGGGCTGGTGAACCGAATTCAGAGGGCTTGCACCGTGCTCGGTGACTATGGTGGTGGTGACAACAACACCTTCTCTTCTCTCTGGGAAGCTCTTCCTTCCGTTGCTGTTGTTGGTGGCCAGGTCTATCGCGTTTTTTTTTTTTCTTTTTAATTTTTAATTTCAACTCTCGTAAATTTTGCGGCGGAGAACGAACGGTCAAAATTCAGAAAACGGTGGTTTAGTCTTTTCTCATTTGATTATATCAATCGATTTTTCAAGCAAACTAGGTTCGCTTCTGAATTATATTTTATTTTAAGTTTGAGTTGAGTTCAGTGTTTAGTGCTCAGATGCTATGTGTATGTGTGGAATTTTGAAATTTGCGGCAGAAAAATTAGAAACAATTGGATAGTTGGAAATGGTTTCTTTTCGTTTTTCTGTTATAATGTAATTTTCAGGGTGTAGTTCTCTCGCTTTTTTCAGCAGGAGAGTTGAACAATAGACAGTTGTTTTCAGGAGCCTGTTTTTTTTCTCTGTTTTTTTATTCCATGCAGGATTCATGGGTCTGAAGAGTGTGTTTTCCTTTTATTCTTCCGAAAAATTGAGTAGTCTGATAAAACTGTTTAGTTTTGCTTAGTTTTATTTTAACTATGGTATTTTGAGTGTGGCTCTGGATTCATTTTCACGTTTTATTTCTTTTGAAATTTGAGCAGAGTTCAGGGAAGTCTTCAGTTTTGGAGAGTATTGTTGGTCGTGACTTTTTGCCTAGAGGATCAGGTTTGATATCTTCTTTCTTGTTTTTCCCATTTTAATGAGTGATTTGACTTATCTTTTTCCCTTGTTGTGAATGAACTACAGGGATTGTCACAAGGCGTCCATTGGTGTTGCAGCTTCATAAATTGGAAAGTGGGTCACAAGAGTATGCCGAGTTTCTTCACCTGCCGAGGAGAAAGTTCACTGACTTTTGTACGATAGTAACCCACTACCCTCCTTATAATATATACAGGAATGGCATGTTTTCGACTAATTATAGGATGAATTTTGTTTTATGGTTCCCATAAAAGAATTTGAATGCTTGTTAACATCTTTTGTTCTTGTTCTTTGTGAATTGCATGTTCACTGATGTGCCCCCTACTGCCCCCGGAAACATTTTCTTTTAATTTTCTTTTAATTTCCTATTATATTATATTATATATATGGCTGACACATTTCTCTCTATCATAGCTATCCTAATGTGTCCCCACGGTTACAAACAATCAATTTTCAACAAATTCTATTTCTTTTTGGGATTCAAATGAATAATTTTCTGAACGTAATCCTTTGGTCAAGTGTCAATGATTGTGTTTGGCTAGCAATCATATGATAATTTTGAGTTGACACTGTTCTCATAGTTTATTGAGTTTATGATTTTGTAGTGTTGATTTTTTTCAGTGTTCCCTATCATAATATATAAGCTTTGTAATTTAAAACAATTATCCTGTTGCAGCTTTGGTCCGCCAAGAAATTCAGGATGAAACTGATAGAGTAACCGGGAAGACAAAACAAATATCTCCGATTCCAATTCATCTTAGCATCTATTCACCAAATGGTACGTATCTATTGTCATTGTCTCTTGCTTTATTAGAGATATTTAAAAAGTTACAACTAAACATATAAAATAGATTTGAACTCGTTTAGGTTATGCTTATTTTATTTTAATTCTAATATTTTGATAGGTTCATAGGGAAAGGAATAATTGAATGAAGAAATCTAGGACAAAATACCCTAGAAAGTTACTACCTGATGCTATATGTAAGACACAAATATTTAAGTTATCCAGACCAGTAAAATTAGATAAAATAGTTTATTTGAATTAATATTGTCATGAATTTAAATTTTGTTCCAAAAACACCGTAACTTTTTGGAATATGATGACACTAGTCATAATCTAAGGAAATTCTTCTCAACCAATATTTTAGGATATAAAGAGAAGGAGAAGTTAGTTAAGACAGTTAGAGTATTAGCTGTGCAATCTCAGTACAGATACAACAGAAATATAACTAACTATGAGAGAATGGGATTGTCTGTTACAGAGACCAGATTTGAGAGACAGAATCTGGTGGCTTTGGTAGAATGTGTGCTGCCTTGTCTTGAGCAGGCACATGAGAGACAATCAAATAGTTAACTTGAACTTTTTCCAACTGAAATGATATCCAATTCCATATGTTTACTTTTCCAAGATAAGTTTACCATATACTAGAACTAGTGGTACGAATTGCTGGTGTAGCATCCTAGACGAGTTTTCCATTGACTTGAACTAGTGGCATGAATTTGTGGGTTATGTTGTAAGCTCAAAACATTTTTTTTAATATGGGTTGATGGTCTTGTTGTATTTAGTGGGCTTGGACCTAGTACTTGTAGGCTATGATTCAATTATGATAAGAACCCAAGGTAAAACAAGAGAAATAGCTAAACTGGTACTAATATGTATCACTAATCAGAATAAATTCCTCTGTATAATGGAATTAGAGAAATCTAAAAGAGAAACAGTACTGAGCATGGATAGAAATAATCCCCGTACATATGATATTCTGAGGTGCTGCATACGATTGGTGTTGTATGTGGTGCCAACTTAGTTGGGATGACTAACATAATAGTCATGCTTTAACACTCTCATTTTTATTAAAAAAAGGCCTCTACTCAAAATCACCACCCAAAATCTCAAAATAATTCCCCCATTTCATTTGGGTACTCTCCCTCCTTATGTACCAATTTCCTCTCTCTCCCTTTTTGCCCCACTGTATGATTACCATATATGACCCTACCCACTCTCTTATAGTGCCGCATAATTAATATATAAATGGTAGTGTTGCTGTAGTAGGCTAGATTATTATATTCTATTATGTTTAGTCAATAATATATTCCATGTTTAATGTTAATTATCTTCTTTTTTTCTTACTCCTAAGATAAAAATATACTTTTACACATTGCAAAATCATTTTAAGGATCATGACAGTTATCATACCTAATATATTTCCTTTATTTTCTGACTAAATTTAATCCCTTTTCCTCTTTGCCTTTTGAACAGTTGTCAACCTAACCTTGATTGATTTACCTGGTTTGACTAAAGTGGCTGTAGGTATGCTTTGTAGTTAATGTTATTTTTAATTATAAATTAATTTGTTGGATCTAATGATAATCTTTATCTTTAAATTGACAATTGTGTCCATCTTTTTTAGAGGGACAACCTGAGAGTATTGTTCAAGAAATTGAAACTATGGTTCGAACATATGTTGAAAAGGTAAAAAATATTTTTCTTTTATGCAGTGAATTTATATGGGAGATATCGTTGGTGTGATCGCAAGCAGTTTACCTTTTATCTACTTGAATTGCAACATTTTTGGATAAGCGAAATTTATTTTTACTTGTTATATCTGCTGATGAATCCCTTTAAGTATATGTACTAGTGATCCTTGAGTTTGGAAGCTTTCTCTGACGCAGTAGCCACACCTGACCTTAAAATTTATATAATATCCCAATTTTGCCTGTATTTGCCAATAATTTATTTGCATTACAAATGAGGTGAAAATGGTATATACAAGCATATAATCTAATTTAAGAAATTATTTGCTACTTGTAGTTCAAGTTGATAGTTCAACTACAAATTGAATTGCATTTCTGACATATAGGGTTAGCAACATTGATTTTTGTATAAATTCCACCTATATACCTAATCCCGTATCTGCACTTTACTTATGTATAAATTCAATAAATCAGTAAAAAATATTAACTAAAATTTACTATAAAGTTCTAGTCCTATATGTTTGAAGACATAGTTGTTGATCTTTTATGTTGTAAGATGATTAGCCACATAGAAGGGTAATTATTAAAATATGCATATATACTTGTTTATTCAATATCTTTGATGAAAATTGGATCCATAAATGTAACACATATTTTGAAAATAAGATCAAGATTTTATATTATTATTAGGATAATATTCAACGTATGATTCTTTGTTTATTGGGGAAATTGTTGATTTATGTATTCATAATGTCTTTGTCAAGAATTGTGTTTAGATATGATACCTCATTAAAATGAAATAATACTTTTCCTTTAATAAATTGAAATTTCACTTCTGAATATTCTAAAATAACACTACAAGTATTCAAACATAATATAAAACATTTAAACATAAAATTAAAAACAACTAAACGTATCTTTGAGTCATTCAAACATAAATCATAACTTGACAATATAAACATAATTTGTTTTTAAGTTTTGTTCTAGGCAAAAGTCCCAAGTGAAGATACAAAACTCAAAGTCAGAGCAGTCAATATTAGTTGTTGTTATGGGACATCAAAAGTCTATTTATATACTCAAGAACAATTAGTTTCAACCCTCCGGTAAGTCTTGTGTACCAAGGTACCTGAGTAGTGGGTCTTGCATGCTAAGGTACATGGTAGCAAGTCTTACATGTCGTAATATTAAACCAATCAGATCGAATCGTCGGATAATACACAACCCCCATTCGTTAAAATCCTCGATACTGGATTGTTGATTTGATCATGTCATACCAAATTTAATCCACACTTACTTGAAGGTACAAGTTTAAATTATATTATATAATTATGTATATTAGATATTATAATATATAACTAGTATTATCACCCATGCAATGAACAAATATGTTATCATATTTTAAAATTATACAAATGTTTGTCATTTACTATAATTTAATTTGTGAATTTATATTTATTTATTTACATTAAAAGTTAATTTTGAATTATTTCCACAAAGACATCTCCATTGTGAAAAAAATGAAGATATATAAACATCCTTTTGCCATTTTTTTTGACAAAAAAATTATCATAATTTTCTTTTTCATTCTACCACATAGGATATAGCACACTCCTTTTTTTATTAGGTTCAAAGATCAACGGAACACATTTATATAAACAAATAATAACATGAATATATAAACACATAATTTATAAATTTGGAGAAACTATATAACACATTATTAAAAACAGAAAAAGTTATGAAAAAAAAATATTATTATATATTCACATATAAAATTAAGGGATGGTTTTGGTCCTTGTACATTCCATGAAACTTGGTTTTGGTACTTGTACTTTAGAAGTTGATTAATTGGTTCTCAAACATAAAAAAATATGGGACTATAGTCCTATCATTTTTAGAACAGTGAAATCTATTACCAAAGAGTAAATTCAAGCTTAAAGAATGACTAAAATCATATTCAGTCATTTTATTAACTTTGCTAAGAAAAAAATTATTACATATTTCCAAAAGGTTGAGGATTAAATTGATCACTTTGAAAATAAAAGGACCAAACACAAGTTTAAAAAAAAATATAGGGACCAAAAACATACTTCTTCCTAAAATAAAATATAATATTGTACATAAGTATATATTATTTCTACAATTAACATTCTTTTCTATTCATATATATATATATATATATATATATATATTAATTTAGAAACTAAATAGGAAAAATACATTAAAATTTTATTGTTAAATTTCTCAAACATAACATACAATTTTTTTTTAATATGATACTAAAAGTAAACCATAATTCCTTCAAATAATTCACAAAACAATATTAGAAACATAATCCTCCAATATAATATTCTAAATTAATTAAGTTACATAAAATAATTATTTACATAAATAAATATATGTATATCCAGTACCCTCACCCTTACCCATTAAACTTTGCGAGATAACTCCCCCTGTACCTATCCCTAATTAAGTAGGTCTTTATCCTACTCATTTGAGGTTCTTTGTGTGGGTACCTATAGGTTCTGGGTACACTTTGTGGTCCCTAGCTGCACCATATTGCTGTAGGGTGTGCTCCAAAATGATATGCTCATGCGTCTTAGCATTGTTAGTCAAGTGATTATGTCTCAACATGATAAAACTATTTAGTATGACTTAATTGAACTGATAACAATAATATGTTAACATGCTCATTTGTTTTTTTGTCACTGGTTTGGGAATCAGTTGGCAGTTTGCAATGTTGTCGTGATGCTCTTAAGTGTATTACTTTAGTGTTATTATAATTTGATTTGATGGTATATAAAGATTTCATATATATGTCCTTTTGTTTCACATTTTTTTTTTTGAGTTTGCCATTATGAACTGTCTATGACTGAACAACATTGCTTTCTCTATATTTTAATTGTTGATGGATGGATAGAATTGAGTTTCCTCGTTGAAGTATCTCAAAAATAAACTACATGCATGATGTACTTCCAAGTTTATTTCTGTAATCATTTGCTTTATGTTCAACAGCCTAATTGCATTATATTAGCAATATCTCCAGCCAATCAAGACATTGCAACTTCGGATGCTATAAAACTTTCTCGGGAAGTTGACCCCACAGGTACATTTGATTGCTTAGTGGAATGGGCATTATTACCCTTGCTTATGCCAAAAGATTTTACTAAAATTTGTCCAAAATCCGACCAGGTGAAAGGACATTTGGGGTGTTGACAAAGCTAGATTTGATGGACAAAGGAACTAATGCTTTAGATGTAATATTTTTTTCTTTCTTATTTTTTGCATGTACCTTTAATGTTAAACTTTGAACTGCACCTGTAAAATTATAATAATTTATCCTCATTTTCATTTTTATTCCCTTAAGGTCATCGAAGGAAGGTCTTATCGTTTGCAACATCCTTGGGTTGGTATAGTAAATCGATCTCAAGCAGACATCAATAGAAATGTTGATATGATTGTTGCTAGACATAAGGAGAGGGAGTATTTTGCATCCAGTTCTGATTATGGACACTTGGCCAATAAAATGGGTTCAGAATACCTTGCAAAACTTCTCTCACAGGTTTTCTTTTAGAAAATACTCTTTGCTGATCTCTTTTTGAGATAAGTAGTGTGTTTCTAATCCTGTGAACTTTTTTTGCAGCATTTGGAGTCAGTAATTAGGGCAAGAATACCTAGTATAACATCTTTAATAAACAAAAGCATTGAGGAACTAGAATCAGAGATGGATCATCTTGGGAGGCCTATTGCTCTTGATGCTGGAGTAAGTGGTTTGAACTTATGATGATTTCATTAAAGAGTAAAACTCTTTCTGTGCTGTTCTCTGAGTATTTTTTGAATGTTGATTTCTTATTCAGGCTCAGTTATACACCATCCTAGAACTTTGTCGAGCATTTGAACGGATATTCAAGGAGCATTTAGATGGAGGGTAAACATCTTTTAGTGTATTCCATTTTTATGCTATGTTTGAGTGCAGTGTGAAGAAGGGAGGAGGCAGGGGAAAGATGATAAGCATCTTTGATTGGAAGGATTTGAAGAAGGGGAATGCATTTAGATGCATTTCACTTTGTCCCTTGACTTGGGAGCTAAGCATTTACTTAAAATTTAACTAGTGAATAAGATTCTTGTCTTTTTCTTTAAGCATCCACATAAGAGTGAATCGAGGTTATGAAACTTGTAGATCCGACATAGGATTGGACAGGAGATAAACATGTATAATATGAAATCATAACTTGGAATATAAATACCTCCCTCAATTAAAAGTTTTGCATACACTACAGTAGCCAATTGTGCCAAATAACAGTGCTGTTGCGGTGGAGAGTAACATTGCATAGGTCTGTTGCTAGTTCTTTTGCTTTGATCTCTATATAGATGAATGAATTGCAGTGGACTTGCCCCAAATCATGAGCTTAGAATTGAGATAATCTGCAGAGATATTCATTTCTTTTTAAAACAGAATTCCTTTTCAACGCTCACTAATGCTAACAAAATTTGTATTTTACCCCGTTTTTATTAAAGGTACACAGATGATTTTGCTGGCGTAAACCGCCACATGTACGATTTACGACAACAATTCAATCAGATGTCTGTGAGACAAGAGCAGATGTCCGTGAGACAAGAGCAGATGTTCCTAAGGCAAGAGGCCTTCTACACAAGATTGGAGAAAATATACCAATACCAAGAGAGAATGAGGCAGGACTGGGCGGCCTTCCAGCAGGAGTACCGCGACGAAGCCCGGGAACAGGCGAAATTCCGAAGGCATATGTACCGGCAGTTCCCCTCTTATGGATCGTCTCCAGACGAGAGCCCACCTTCTTAGGAATAATGCTTATAGAATAAGCTGCTGTAATAAATTTTTCTTATAAATAAAATTTCATTTTATGCATTTTTTGCTATCCCTTTCAAAAAGTCAGCGTAACAAAAGAAGCTTAAAGTAAAAAGACGAACGCTCAGAAAAAAGCCAAAATCCAAAATCGCGAGAAAAAAGAGATAAAACTGCGAAAAAAGGCAGGATTAAAACAAGTCAATCACCTTGACCAACAATTTTTGACGACCAGCAAAGTCGGGTAACCACCAACAAAATCTCCGGCACAATCCGAACGACCATTCCCAGGAAAAAGACAAAGACAAGAAAGCACATCTCAATGCTCGGCGCATGAGCCACCTGAGCAGTAAGCTGCCTCCACCACCAGTCCTACGCAGTGGACTGTACCAGCCTGATAGGGGGTTCATACCTATCAACCTGCGCACGCAGTGCGCCTGATCTGCGCTCAGCTCGGATCGATGAAGTCGCAACTACCGAGCCTAATGGGGGGTTCATACTCATCCGAGTCCGACGCACGACGGATCGTAACTACCGACTGATGGGGGGTTTATACCCATCAACCGAAGGATCGGCTACCGTCAGAAGGAGTATCCTGAGGTTCTACCACGTGTCAACCAAAGGGATCGGTTACCGTCAGAAGGAGTATCCTGGAGGTGCACAACACAAATTTTCTCCAGAAGATCAACCGCCGCAAGACGGAACATCCGAAGGGTAACCGGGCAAGAGGGTCAACTCCTTTACCTTCCAGTCAATCTTCTTGGCATAACAGGCCAACAGTCGACTAGTCAGGTAAAGGGGGGGCAGCTGTAGACTCCAAATCTTGCCCGACCTCATAATAAAGACCAGAAGACCTTTTATTCGAAGATGGACGAAGCCTAAGAAGCCACTAGTAGGGATGGCAAAACGGGCTAGGCCCGGCGGGCTGGCCCGCCAGCCCGCCATAATATGGCGGGGCGGGTTGGTGTTTTCAGCCCACCAGCCCGCTTTGGCCCGCCCCGCCAAGCCCGCCAAGTCGTCGGGCCAACCCGCGGGACGTGGCGGGCCAGCCCGCGACCGCCTAATTAATAAAAAAATAATTTTTTATTGTAATAAAATTAATTATAAAGATAATATATAAAGTTAAAATTTTTAAAAAGAGAATTAAAAAAGTTTCATTCTCACATAAAATATTCTCCTTCCTAAAATATAACCCTCTCTCCTGTTCTCCTTATTTATCCTAAATACTGATTATATTTATCCTTATTACTTGAATTAAAGGTATAAGAATTACTCAACCAAGAATAATATGAAGTTTTATCAAATAAAAAATATATAGGTATTTGAATTTTTCAATATAAAAAATATAAATTTTATAAGTTTAACGTTATTTATATATATATATATATATATATTTGTTATTATTTATTATTATGTAAATTTTATTATTGTTCTAAATTATAATTTCTTAAAATAATGTATTGATTTATATTATTAAATTGAAATAATATATATATATATATATATATATATATATTGAATTATTGACAAACAAATAATAATCTTATTATTAAATTTATTAAAAAAAATTATTTTTTCTAAATTATGGCGGGCGGCCACGCCAACCCGCCCTTGGCGGGGCGGGCCAAGGTCTACGGCCGTCATGATCGTATTGGGCCAGCCGCCCAGTCCCACTTTTGACGGGCCAAAGGCGGGGCGGGCCAAAACGGGGCGGGCTGGCCCGTTTTGCCATCCCTAGCCACTAGGAGAGACTATTAGGCCCCATACTAGAATAGGAGGGATTTTCTGCATGTAAATAAGGATTTTCGCCTTTTAGGGTCGAGATCGCCGTCTCGCTTCTCGGGACCGCCGTCTCGCCACTTCTGCAAGTTGAGACCGCCGTCTCGTTTGGCGAGACGGCCGTCTCGCTACTTGCGAATGCGAGACGGCCCCTCCCTGTTGGCGAGACGGCCGTCTCGACCTTGTCAGACGAGACGACCATCTCGACCTGACAGACGCGAATCCCTATAAATAGCCACGCCATTCCCCTCATTTCACACCGTTCTTCCATTCTCTCTCTTGTCACTTCATCAAATTCTCTTCCTAGAACCCCTCCGAAGCACTTCCAGAGTTTTCTGAGAGTTTCTAAGAGTTTTTATAATGTTTTTGAGAGGTTTCCGGCGCTGTAAGGAGTGAAGGGCTGCCAAAAAGCACCCTAATTTTCAAGAGATTAATATAAAGCTTGCCTCGGAGGTTTCTACATTCTCTCTCTCTTTACTGCTTTATCTTTAAATTGCGCAGTAGATATTAGGACCATCTAGTCGTAACTTTAAATTTCGTAAATAAAGGGTAAAGCGTATTTTCACCGCTTTACTTATTTAAATAGCTGGCTTATCATAGGGAACCCGAAAGGGGCGTCGTAAGGGAACTAACACTTCCCTTACACGTAACTAACTCCCTTACCCAACTCTGGTTCTAATGACCAAAGTTGGTTTTTTGAAAACCAACGCCTTTTTACTCCTTTTCCGATGTTTCTGGTAAAAACATCGGTGGCGACTCCAGAAGAACCCTTCAAAATTAGTTTTTGGGTTAACTCGGTTATAGGACAATCCAAGAACACCTTTTCGAAAACCTCGTCCCTAGGTTCAGTCCGGTTATCGGACAACCTAAAGGTGTTGTAACCACACCAATAAAAACGCGTAAATTGGAAAGTCGGAACCATCGCGTCGCTTCGACCGCCTCATTTTGACGGCGGCTACACTTTCTATATCTTTTCATCAATCTAAACTTGACCGTAGGATTTATGTTAGTGTCTCCTCTGTCTTGCCCAAGCCGTGAACACAGGTTCCCGAGAAGTATCTTAATTTTCAGCCTTCACAAAGGCCAAGAAGGCTATTGGTAGGATCATTGGTCCAAATGATTCAGTAGCAGGGTTTGGTTTAGAAAATTGGTCAAAAAGCCCAACTATTGGGCTATAAGGAGGCTGGGTTGTGGAGGGGCTGAGTTGCCAGGTTGTTAGCTTGTCTGTAGGAGGCTGGGTTGGCGTGATTAAGTGGAAGAGTTATTTTTGGTTTTTAAGCCTTATGTCTGTGTTGAGAGTATCTTCTCTGAGGAGCTTTTTTTTGTAGGAGAGGAGGTGTTGTCTATTGTATATGCTCATTAACAGCCATTCTATTGATCCTTCAAAAACAACTTTAGATTGTGAGGGCAAGAATGTAAAGTCAATATTGAACCACTGAACTGATTATCAATGGTCAGTGGTTTATTTTTCCTAAATGGAGATACTTTTACCAATATTCATATGCTTTGTAGTATTCAATTTTTCAATATTGGTCTAGGATCTATATCATATGGGATTTTGCAGTCATGCAAATAATACACATTCTTTTTCTGAACTTTATCTAGTTCCTTGCTTTTGCATTTTGAGCTGCTAATGTTCTATACAAACTACTATATAAAGTTCCTTGAAGAAGACAAAATTTAGTATTACTATTTATCACCTAAAATGATGAATGATTTACTTCTTAACACTTATGCGGAATGGAAATGTTCTTTCAACAACAGGAACCTGTGATAAGGTTTGTCCACTGCATAAGCTTAATGACAATTGGCAAAAACAGATTGAATTGATAGTTTAGATTGGAGTCTGTTATCACTGATGAGCTAGTTGATAGTTCTATTTATTTACATAATAATTTTCTTTTTATTCTTAGGCGGCCAGGAGGAGATAGGATATATAATGTCTTTGACAATCAGCTTCCTGCTGCTTTGCGGAAGCTTCCATTTGATCGGCATCTTTCTCTCCAGAATGTAAGGAAAGTGGTGTCCGAGGCTGATGGTTATCAACCTCACTTGATTGCCCCAGAGCAAGGTTACAGGCGCTTGATTGAGGGGGCTCTTGGATACTTTAGAGGCCCAGCTGAAGCTTCAGTTGATGCTGTTCGCATCCCACTTGTATTACCTGGTTTTTAGTTTTCAGATAACATTAGAACTAAACTAATTGTTCTTGACTTTCTGTAGGTCAACTTTGTTTTGAAAGAACTTGTAAGGAAATCAATAGCTGAAACGAAGGTACTTTTGGAAGTATATTTTACCTTGTTCATGAATTGTTGGGATAGTTTGCAAAGATACTAACTAATATCATAATATGTGACTGCAGGAACTGAAACGCTTCCCAACATTTCAAGCTGAACTAGCTGCAGCAGCAAATGAGGCTTTAGAAAGGTTTCGTGAAGAGAGTAAGAAGACAAATCTTCGACTTGTAGACATGGAATCTTCTTATCTCACAGTGGATTTCTTCCGGAGACTTCCTCAAGAAGTGGAAAAGTCTGGAACTCCTGCTGTCTCAAACATTGACCGTTATGCAGAGGGCCATTTCAGGAGAATTGCATCAAATGTGTCATCATATATAGGGTTGGTGGCAGACACGCTTAGAATCACAATTCCAAAGGCTGTTGTTTATTGTCAGGTCAGACAAGCAAAACAGTCTTTGCTAAACCATTTCTACACGCAAATAGGGAAGAAAGAGGTACATTCTGTCTGCTCCTACTTTCCTCTTTTTATATCTTAAGAAAGTATAGCTTCTTCCTTAATGGAGAATCATAACTTTAGATAAATCACACTACAAAGGCGAACTGTTGTAGTTGGAGACCCAAGGCCTCGTAAATTCTACACTAGATCCCATACTCCATGTCCACCAGCATCCTCACAGGATGATGTGCATTAGCCCACTCCAATCAATCCTGGCAGACACTGCAATAACTAATGTCATCACTAGCATAGCCAACATGCAGACATTACGAAAAAGGATACCTATTCATAATAACCCAAGGAGAGCCACACCGTTAAATTTGGCTTTTGCGGTTGGATTTGAGAGCCTAGGGTCTTATTAACCTCAAATTATAATTTCATACTTTCAATGTGGGACGTATGTCTCATGCCTTGCATTTGGATCCTTAAAATTTTGTAGTTCCGTGACTTCAGTGAAGTTCTAAGTCATAACCCAGATTGACAACATTAACTCTATGTTTCTAGTATTGAGTTGCCTTTCTGATATATGATTAATCTTATCATTCACACTTTTAGATAAAAACTATTTTATACTTGTTATGGATAGTGACATACTCTTAGAGACAAACAGTTGCCCATCTTTTTCTGTTTGGTATGCTCCAATTAGCTTCACCGTGGAAGGATTACACAGTTTGCTTTTATTGAATAGTATGCTTTCAAAGCTTAAATTTTATTAATAGAAATGCTAATAAATATTAATAAATCATTTTATTTTATCACTAAGTTAAGCAATATTAATAAACAGTCCTAACATGGCACAAGTTGTGCAAAGTTTGGAAGCCAAAGCAAATTACAGAGTTTGTATTTAATCATAGCCCCATCCGGCAAGAATAAATTCTTTTAGTTGTATCCAGACAAAATTGTATATTTTTGATCGAAGACAAGAATTTAGAAAATGCATTTAAACTTCTATCTTTAATTGTAGTTAAGCTTAGTAAGTTACCAATCAAGGTATTACTTACGTAACGTAACGTAACGTTTGTTTTTTTTTTTTGGAGGGGGGGTGGAGGTATTATTTGTCTTGAAAGGAGCATGTCTCCATTAGATCATTCTGCCAAATGATACATAACATAGGATTTGGTTGGAAACTAATTTTTCATCTCAGCGATTTTTCTCTATGCCTTGATACAATAATCATCCTTTGGTTACATGTGTGGCAATATATAACCAAATCTGCTATGTACTCATTGTTTTAAGTAATTCCAATATATCCTTGATACGATTTTACTTGCTATAGGGTAAACAGCTCTCGCAAATGTTGGATGAAGACCCAGCATTGATGGAGAGGAGACAACAGTGTGCAAAAAGGCTTGAATTATATAAAGCAGCAAGGGATGAAATTGATTCGGTTTCCTGGGTGCGATGAGCTTGGTGCTTATTGAATATCGTCCTCATCTTGTATGATAGCGATCATTTATGGATTGGCTGGACCCTGATGTAATTTACTTATTTACTATTCCTGTATTTCCGTTCTTGATTGTAGGGTAAGATTGGAGTTAAGTTGGTTATCTAAATTGTGGTGTACATCCACGCAGCATGTGATCTTCATATTTGTGTATTCTTTGTAATCTCATTCGTGGTTGTTACATTATCGAGTCTTGCACGAATGTTTGGTTTCCTTTTCTTGACACTGAACCGGTCGAATAACAAACTGGCTGAGAAGGTGGACCCACAAGGAACTGATCAAACGTGGCAAAACAGAGATTCGCGGAAGAGACACAAATTGAGAGCCAACAATAACACTCGTCTAATAAAATAGGTGTTACTCTGATCATGTTCATGTGGCGAGGTTGAAGATTCTATAATTGATCGTTGGAAAGTGCCAAGGTTGAATGAATCCATGGGAATACACCTTCAAGAAAAGAAGAATGTCATGAATGACATGGATTGTACTACATGCTGAAAAGGATGCCTAATAGTTAGGAGATTCCAGTCTTTTGTACAGCGATCTTTACTATTAGTTATTTAGTACATAGCTTTATTTTCTAGTCGATCTTGATTAATGTGATATATATATATATATATATATATATATATATATATATATATATATATATATATGTTTTAACTTTCTTCAGAGCCATGTTTTCTGTTTTAGGTTAAATAGATTTCCCTCGAAATATTTATTTTTCTACAATCGACAGGAATTCATTTTATACTGTCGACTGTGTTTTTTTATCGGTGTCTTCAATTGCCACTAAACCTTTTTCCACCTTTTTTCTGACAGAAACCTGATTTTATATTTGATTAATAAGAAATCATTTTTGGGACGAGTTTTTAAAGTTTTAATGTAATAAACTAATGATTCATGATGTTTATGATTGAATAACAATCACACTGTTAGTTGGTAATCTGTTTAACTCTTTTATAACTACTGTACATGATTATCTCAATAAAAAAAGTGCCAAAATTAATTTACGGGATTAAAATTATTCTGGGTATTTTATGAAAAAGTATAGACGTTAGTTGACACATCCCCTCGTGGTTTCATTTGGACATCTAGAACATGAAAATTAGGAAGTTGGATTTTTTGTAGGAGATGCATTACCATAACCGAAATAGGATCGTATAAGAATTGAGAATTAATTAAATTTTCACTTAAAAAAGTTGTTTAGAAGCTAGAAGATTACCCACTTTAAGTGATACGAATAAGTTCTAGATTTCTCAGCTCAGTTAAAAAAAAAAAAAATATTGAATCGTAGAAACATATGATTCTCACTACAAATGAAAAACAATATGTATTTGTTTTTGTCTTCGTTTTATTGACTTCTCTTTCTAGTATCTCTTCATTACTGATGACGAGGATTAAAAAAAATATTAATGTTAGTAAGGACTCTTGTTTAGAACCAAGTCTTCAAAATAAATGCTTCTATCAAATAGTAATTATTTTTAATAAACTATTCCTTTTCATTTTATTTATAATTAAATACTTAATTATTTCTTATGTATTTATTATAACTTGATAACTCATTCTTTTTCACTTTAAGACATTTAAAGCTTATATGGGAATATCAAAAAATTGCGTAGAAGGATAGTTTAGTAGTTTATGTTCAAAATATTTTCTAATATAAAGAAAGTTGCATGGTTTTGATCATAAATAAGTATATTTCTCACAAAATTCTAATTAATACCCAATTTGATTGTAAATCTCAATGAGAGTTATTTTAAATTTAGGTTAAATAATTTCCTATATTTTTAACATGGGGTTTTTCTTTTAAAGAAGTAAAAATATCATTGAATAAAAATATCATATTAAAATTTGAACAAATATATTTTAAAATTAATGTAAAAGAAAAAGAAAAAACATTTAATGTTAATAATACGAGGAAAGCAATATTATCTCGGTGGACTGAAACGCCATTCAGAGTTTCTCAAAAGTGGTTGCTAGCTGCTCTGTAACATTGGCCGTTGCCTCCTCAGTACGAATTCACAGCCTTTATCAACAAGATAAGAGGCAAAGACATGAAAGCCCCGTCTTCTCTGTTCCTCAAAGGTCACGTCTTCCCTTCCTCTATTTTTCTCCTCACAAACCCCAAACGTAAGTAACGCTTCACTCCTTCTTTTTTGTTTCTTATTATCTTCAGCCTTCTTATCTTAATTGCATAATTTCATGCTCTAACTATAGCTGCAGTCAACTTGAATCTGTTATTTATTGGAATAGTTTGTGTTAATACAGTGTTTGCTATTGGGTACATAATGCAGGAACACCTAATGTAAAAACGCACCCCATCTTGTACTTATGTAAAGCCATCCAAACTAGCTCATATGAAATTTCCAATGGAAGCTATCATCCCACTGTGCAGCACTCAACAGAAAAGAATACAATGGTATGTGTGTTTGTGGTATGAGTATATTGCTTCTGTATTATGCATTCTAATTCATATCTATGAATGTGTATTTTGCTTCTGCTGTCGCTTTAACTCGCAGTTAAGAGTGTCTTTACGGTAATTTGGAAGAAATATTTGCTAATTTTACTGTTCGGATGGATATTTGAATTGTAGGAGAAGCCATATAGGAAAATTGAATCTATTGGGGCATTTCAAAAGTTGCCCATAGTGATGCCATCAATTGACATTCTTGGATCTGCACTAAGAAAGGCGAGGAAGGTTTCTCCAACTAAAGGTTCTTGACTGCAATTATGTTCTTAGTTTCCTGGTTGCCATTTGTGTTTATATCTTAAACCCCATGGTTTACATTGACTTTTAGTTTGCTTAAACTTCAGGAATTGCCAACATTGCAAAAAGGGAGAAAAACAAGGGTGCAAAGCAACTTGATGCATTGATGAAAGTATGTTCATTACTCCTGAAAGTCATGCTTCGAGCTATAATGTGTATTTCAGTATCTACTGTCCATTTTATAGAAAAAAGGATGTATCGTAAGTTAACAGTGCAGCTCTTGTTAGGAAATTGCTGTTCCCTTGAGGACGTATGTGGAGAATTTTCCTAACAAAACATACCTTCATCCTTATGAAAGATCTCTGATTGAGCTGACGCTTGGAGATGGATACTATGAAATGGTATATTAGTAAAACAGCATTGCAGCACTAAACATGTTTTTCAACTTCCAGTAGCGCATTCCCTTAGTTATTACATGTCATACAATAGTCTTATGATTATTTATCATTCCCAGGGCTGCATGCATACATATTTTTGAATAATGTCTATATTCATATAAATTATTAAGACTTTGTCTAATTTTTTATTTAAAATTGTTTAACAGGTGCTACGGAAGGTAGATGGTTTAAGGAAGAGGGTAGTGTCTATTGGAAAGGAACATGCTTCACATTGTGCTAAGGTTTTGTTTAGTAATTTGCATTTGATTTTAATCTATTTCTTGGCTGGGTAATTATGTAGTTGTCATGCTGTTTGAAAGTATTACTTTCACTGATGTTTATGAAGTCTTAGTAGCAAAATTTAAAAATCATTTATGCTAGGTCTAGATGTCAATACCAATTTGTTCTTGTTGACGGTATGAAATCGGGTCTTCCCAATGACAATATTTTATGTTATTTAACCTTTTCAACGAAGAGATTTTCATTTAACTTTGATGGCCTTCATTGCTTCATCCATAAAGTAGGAAGCATTGCTCATGCCATTATTAGTACCATCATGTTAGCTTGTTATTTTTCGGAATTCAATTCATTCAGATTGACTGTTCCAATGTCTCTTTACGTAATCATATTGTTAAATTGGTGATTTCATTTTTCATCCTTTGCATTCTTGACATGATTGATTTCATTTCACATTGTAACAGTCTTCATCAAAGCGAGAAGCAGAGGAAAGGCTGAGTGAGGTGAGCTGTAGATCTTTTGAGGAAACATCTGCTTCCTAATTTCTCTGAAGATCTCAGTATGTTTCATGATTTTATGCAGGGTCTTAAGAAAATTGAAGAAATTTTTGCTCAAGAAAGAAAAGTTGTTGATGATTTGTTAGATATAGCCAAGGTATTCAGCATTTTCAACAAACGGAATCCTTCTTTTGTTTTGTGTGTGCTTTCTGTAAACATACATATTAGTGTTCACAATATGGGTGGCATGTGAAATTTAATTTGTTTTCTTGAATAATATTTTATCTGAACTTTTATAAATGTTGCAGACTCTCAGAGCAATGCCTGTAATTAATTTGGAAACACCAACTCTCTGCCTTGTTGGAGCTCCTAATGTAGGCAAATCTTCTTTGGTCCATGTACTCTCTACCGGCAAGCCTGAGGTATGCAACCAAATGTTAGAATATTTAATTTTTAAAATTTCAGTTTTATTTTAGACTCTTTAAAAATATGGACTGGAATTGAATGTTTTATATTACTAAGTATCCGATCCACTCCAATAAATTCTACATCTCTTTGAATTTCCTCCTTATGAGTCTGCTGAAAAGATTAAATTTGCATATGGTGATATCAATCAGGACACAATCCCCTTGGTTAAAATTGCTACTGAAAAACGAATATTTCTGTTTTGTTACTTGGTTGATTTGTGACCATTTCCGATGGCTATGTGCTGGTGATTCAGAAATGTTCAAGTGCCTTATGTTACAATTGTAGTGCTTTTTCTTTCTCTTGTTCTAGAATGAATGATTTTTACTTGATTGTGAGTTTGCACATTTTAATTATATATATAATTTACCTAATTTCTTTCATAATTTCCCTAACCAAATTAACATATATAGAAGTAAAAGGATCCTAACTAATCATATGTACAGTGAACCTAGATACTAAACTAAGGCTGAGTATTTAAAGATTCCACCATCCACTCTTTTTCTCATCCTTTCTCCTTTCCTTTCTACCTAAAATTTCAGGTTTGTAACTATCCCTTCACAACAAGAGGAATTCTTATGGGTCATATCATTTTAAACTTTCAGAAGTTCCAGGTTAGCAAATTTGTGACATGTAATTTGCTTTTGGACATTTTTTCCCATCATGAACTGCATATCACATAGTTGTAATAGTATACCTTGCATGTTTGTAGGTAACCGATACTCCGGGCCTGCTGAGGAGACATGATGGTAATTAACATTTCATTTGTTTTTCTCAATTTTCAACTAGTATTTATTTTTTCTCATTTGGTGAAATATTATATATCCAAGTTTCCATTGGTTTGAGGATCAGTTTTCCTGAGAGGAGGGGGTGTAGTATAGAGGAGTGGACTGTGACTTCAAATTCCATTTTGCAATAGTTTTTTTATCTCCTTAGAATTTGCAGTGTTACTTATTTGGTAGCCTTTGTGCTAAGGAATTGGCTCTAAAGATCTGTATAGAAGGTTTGAAGACTGGTAGCTCAGGTGGAATATAAAGAATTATGGGAAATGTCCTATCGTGTAAGGATGGTGCTGGCAGGATCACTTGGTTAGTTGGGGGAGTTTGTGTAGGCCAGAAAGAAACCAGATTTATTCTCTGTAATTTGGTTTCTTCAAGCATTGCTATACTATATAAATGGCTATGGTGTTATGTTTTGTTTGGCATAAGACAATTAAGAGTAAAAATGGCTCGAGGGAGAAGGTGGAACCCTAAAAGCATATACATGCGAGAATATTTGCTCAGCTTTTTTTCTTGCACACTATGGGAAAACACTGGTTTTTTCATCTTTTGGTGACAGTCATAGATTTTCGTTGGAACTTCTATTTGTTATGCAAAGAATGTTGTTTTCTTGTAGGTGAATTCCTTGTCGATCTAAATTTATAATACTCTTATGTATTGAAGATTTATTATTATAATTTTATTGATAACATAACAAACTCTCGCTAATTACATTTTCAGATCTTATTTGTAACGATCAATCTCTATGAAATAAGGAAACAAAATATGTTGAAATAAATAAGAAGATTCTAAAGATATTTTATCCTACTCAATATGGAGATCCTAAAGATATTTTTATTCTAATAAAGTGCTATTTACAATACTTCCACCCAAGCTGGTAAATGAATTTTAATCATTCCCAACTTGCCTACAAGATCCTGGAATCTGCCCAAAGAATGTTCTTTAGTGAAAATGTTTGCTATGTGAAGTGTTAGGGATATGGGTTATAATCACAAGACCTTGATCTAGATTATCTTTGATGAAGTGCTTCTCAATTTCTATATGTTTGGTCTTGTAATTTTATGCTCGATTGTGGGCAATACTTTGTCATTGTACAATTGCGTAGGGATGTCTACCTTGATTTTGAAGTCATCCAGAGTCATTCACACATACCTTGAGTTCAAACTCAAGATGAGATAGTTTATCCTGTTTTTTGCTTATCCAAGTTGCCATACTTTTTCCAAGAAACATACAATACCTAGAGGTAGATTTTCTGTCAATGATTGAACTTGCACAATCAACATCAATACTCAAAGTGTCTTCTCTCCTAACCAACAATCTCCTTTTTGGACTTGACTTCAAGTACTGAACAATTTTGTTGACTACTGCATATGTTTTTCTCTAGGGTCATGCACAAAATGGCTTGCCACTAACTGCATAAGCAATGTCTGTCTCATGTATGATTGATAAATCAGTTTCCCTACCTATCTTTGATATTGGGTCCTTTCTAGATAAAGCTGTTTTCACGTCCAATTCTATGATTCTATTCAATAGAAATTCTTGAGGTTCTAAATCTTAGCATTGATGAAAATTTCTCTCTTCGAGTAAGCAACATGTATTCCAAGCAAGTATTTGAGTTTTCCCAGGTTTTTTGAACTGCCAATGTTTCCTTTAAAGCCAATTTCTCGGATCATTATCTCCTACAATGATCATATCATCTACATAGACAAACAATATTATGAGTTTACCAGTAGGGGAGTGCTTTATGAATAAAGTATAATCTCCTTGACTTTTCTTTTCACCTAAGGAAACCATTTTTTTAGTAAATATTCCAAACCAATCTCTTAGAGATATCTTAAGACCATATAAGGCCTTCTTTAGGTGACACACCTTGTTTCTTCCATTTTGAGATTCAAATCTTGGAAGAAACTCCATGTTCATCTTCTAAAGCTCTATGAAGAAACTTCACCTTAAATTAGTTTAAGTTCCAACCAAAATGATTTGCCGAAGCAACAACGACTCAAACTGTATTCATCTCTGCTGTTGGAGCAATTGTCTCCTCATAGTCAATCCCATAAGTTTGGGTGTAGCTATTTGCCACAATCTGATTTTATATCTTTTTATCATCCCATTTGCCTTATGTTTTACTATGAATATCCATTTTCAAATGTCTCTTGTTTTATCAACAATCTCCCAAGTCGAGTTTATTTTATTTTTTCTTCTTGTAATTCATTCATCTCCCCTTTAACGGTTTGAGTACAATGTTCACTTTTCATGGCTTCATGGATTGAGTCAGGAATTTCTGCTGTCTCAATGGCAACAATAAAGCTTTGATGTTTATTTAGAGAGATTGTCAGTGCAGATATATTGGGAAATAGGATATTTAACACACAACCTTTTTTCTTTTTTTATTGCAATGGATAAATTCTTAATAAAACTTATCTCCTCGCTGTTATCTTCAGTGATCCTCACGTTTGGGTTAGACAACCTTCTTGTTGGAAAGCCAAAGTGGGTTGTTTTTGTGATAGCAATGGCCCTGGAGAGGCAGATGGGGCCCTTAGCACAGTGGAAAAGAGGCCCAAAAGAGGACACAAGCAACCCACTTACCTTTGTGACTACGTCACCAAATAACAATATCTCTAAGTGATTTAGTATTTCTTTCTTTGCTGAGTTGTAATTTCTGTTAGAGATTCCCTTTCTAGTATGTGATATTTTCTGTTATGCCAATCATTTGATGGTTGAGTATTGTTAAATACTGAAGAAAGGAATGAAAAGGGCAAGAAAAACATTTTCCTTTTTTCTCTCTCTATTCTTCTAGGAGGTCCCTTGTCCTCGAAACCAAGGCAATTCTCTATCCCTAACATTTTGTCTTTGATATTTTTTGCCAAAGAATATGTCTTCTTCCTCTTTGTCCTCACTGTGGGCTAGTTCTACTTTTTCATGTGACTTCACGATGTTGATCTTGAGTATCTTGCAATGATAGATAAGGTAATGACAAGAAGGGGGACTCCTCCAGTTCAAGTGCTTTCTCCCTTTGAAGCAGAGAACGGAGAAAAGACTCACGAATCTAAGAATGATAAATGAGACTCAATAGGACTAATACCAATTAAGACGCAAGTGGGTAGCTTGTTAATGATATATGTGACAATTAACACAGCTTCTCCCCAATAGGTATTGGGAACAAACATCTAGAATAAAAGGGCTCTAGCAAATTCTAGGGGATGACAATCCTTCCTTTCTGCATCCCTGTTTTATTGGGGAGTTGATTAGACATGTTAGTTCATGGATAATACCATTATGAGACAAAAAAATTAGAAAATTCATGATCCACTTATCATTATTGGACCTAATTCTTTTGATATTTTTACCAAATTGATTTTGGACAAGATGGAAAAAACTAACAAAGATTTGGCATACCTCCTTTACTCTTCATAATGTATGTCCATGTGACAGTTACAATCGTTAATAAAAGTAACAAACATTTTACTTTACAAATAATGTTCAAGACTGGTCCTCATACATTAGAGTGAATTAAATCAAATGAGAAACTACTTTTATTTTTACTGATGAGATAGGATGCACTGTGGTGCTTTGACAATTGACAAATATCACATTTGAGCAACACAACAAACTCTTTAGTAAACAAATGTGGGAACAAGGATTTGAGTAGTTCAAATGGAGGATGTCCAAGTCCAAATGAAGCCATATTTGAGAACTTGCCCATGTTTCTAATGTTTCTTGCTGACTTATAACCTTTGTTTTAGTTTGATCCTTGGAATCCAAGAGATACAACCCACTCTGTACTTTAGCAATTAAAATAATCTTTGTAGCTAGATCATGAAAAACACAATAAGAGAAAAATGTCACTGAACAGTTTAAATCAAATGTAAGTTTTTGGACAAAGATAAGACTATTAGCCAGTTGTGGGACATATAAAATATCCTTTACTACAATAGGTGTTCTAGAGTTATATTCTCAGATCCACATATTGGCTCACTATCACCATTTGCAACTGTAATGAGTTGTTCTCTCGTTGTTTTGAGATGAGTTGAAGAGCATAGGAAATGGAGTCATGTGATCTGTTATGAAGAATCCCCGAGACACGGGCAATTATATTGAATGAACTCTTACCTTTGATGGACAGGGTACATGATCCAAAGGACTTACTCATTGATTCTATCATTGTTTTAAAATGATCAAGAAAAGGAAAAAGCTATTGAAGGAGGTAGTGAGAGAGTTGAAGCAACCAGTGTTGCTAAAGAACACAAAAAATGTATCATGGCAAAGGGAAACCGTTTGACAAAAGGATAAAATCTTATATATACTAAAAACAGAGTCACATGGAAAGTCAATGTCTCAGGAAAAACTCTTGGTGTCTGGCGTCATTGTCAATGGTGGCAGCACGGACTGGATCTCACCAGAACAGGCATGAGGGCTACACAAATGGGTACTGGTGGCTACACATGGTTCTTCTAATGATGACATGTCTGTCAATGTTGTTATAGTCCGTGTGCAGTGCACTTCTCTAGCAGTGGTGTGGCCTCGTTTTACTGTATGTGCAATAGAGAAAACAGAACTGCCAAAATCTGGAGTCTTGATACCAACATGAACTATATAGGGAAACAATAAATAATTTTATTGATAAATGATGCAAATTACATTCTCATATATTCTTATTTACAAGGACCAATCTCGCTAAAATAAGGAAACAAATTGTGCTGAAAGATATTTTTATCTTAATCAATAGGGAGATCTTGAAGATATTTTTATTCTAATAAGCCGTTATTTACAATAATTATTATTATTATTTTACTGAAAAAGAGTGTAGAAATGGCTTTAAAATGGGAAAGGTAGGTTGTTGAAACAGGACATAACGTAGTTGAAAATTCGCAGGCAGCTTTCATGTGGGTATATTATAATACTATGGGTTGTTGAAGGATCTTAGACCTCCTGTACCTCTTAATTAGCTATAATAAATCACAATTTACGATATATGAACAAATTTTGCTATTGAATTTCTTTTCCTTTTTATTTAGTTAAACACAATCTTTTCCACCTTGTTAGTTTTTGCTCTTGTTTGGATTTTAGAGGACAGGAATAATTTGGAAAAGTTGACTCTGGCTGTCCTTTCACACCTGCCAACAGCAGTTTTGTATGTCCATGACCTTTCGGGGGAGTGTGGCACCTCACCGTCCGACCAGGTGTGCTACTTTGACAACTGAATTATTAGGACTAAAATTATGAGTGAAATATAGATCTTCTTTAACTGGCTATAAAGATAGTTGCTGGTTTCATTGCTTTCAAACTTATATTGCAAGAAACACAATTTTTGTTCAAGAGGTTGAATTATGTACTTGTCTAGACTACATAGGCTTAACTTGGACTTGTGACTCAATTAGAACTAGATGTCAATCAAAGAAGTTTGTGTTCAATTTCGGTGATTCTTCCTTCTAATGTATTTTCAGGCTATCGATTTTTTGGTTATTTATTTTGTAATGACATCCATGGAAACCTATGAAAGGCATAATTGATAACAGTCAGAAATAAAATAACAGAATTGGGGATGGACTCGAGTGAGGATGGCTAATGTTCTGCGTTGCTTTATACTGTTCATCTGCTCCTACCCTTTTTGATTTATGCATCCTACTGTAAAGGGGAAAATTTAAATGCTATACCTTCTTTGAGAAAGGTCCCTTGTTAATGAGCTACAGACTCAGTTGCTGGACTATTATGTATTACAAAATTTGGGTTCTTTACCTTAACTTGGATGCATTGCATGAAATTCTGTTCCTTTCGATTCAATTTTATAAAACTGTGGAGAGAGATTATGAAGATGATTTCTATAGTTGGCATTGGACTGTCTGTAAATATCACCAACCTATTAAGATCTTGAGCGGAAAATATTTCGCCTGTCATGCTAGTTAAAAGTGCCTCCAAACTCGAGAGAAGTGAATTTAGTTTAGAAAAAAAAAATCAGAAACATCTTACAAATATTTTAATAATTTTTGTTGAAGCTATTTAATGTCTTTAAACTTAAAATACTCAATAAATAATTAAGAGTACTAACTAACACATCCATGTTGATAGTATTAAAGATTGCAATGTAAAGTAATACACTGGAAAATAGAAGAGATAGGGAAAGAGAATGGGAGCTGAGAATTCAGCTACTTCTTACCACCTTCATTCAGCCCAAGCAATTTAATTTCCCTAGTCTTCTAACCATAGAACTATTGGTTGAAAATTTTCTGTATAATTAATCTAAAATTTTTCACAAAAAGAGAAGCCTTTTGGGTATAACTTTTGGCTATTATTTTCCTTTGTGGGGAAATCATTTGAAAGTCTGAAAATGAAAAAATTGCAATCATTTGAAAGTTTGTCTTTTGATTAGGCATTCAATTGACGGTTGTTTATGCAGTTTTCAATATACCAAGAACTCAGAGAAAGGTTTACTGGACATTTATGGCTCGATGTCGTATCAAAATGTGATCTGTTGAAGACATCTCCTGTGGTCTATGCCACAGATGAGCCTCATCCCTCACAACTTGAGCTTGTAAACTACCGGAAATCAGGTCCCGATGGAGCGATTAATGTATCTGTAAAAACACAAGAAGGGATACAGGAGGTGAGGAAAATCTATTCTAATTTTCGTAGTTTGACTAGAATGTCTCATATGATAGGTGTATGTTAGCATGAATGGTGGTGAATTCCACACAATTTTTTGGTGGAGTTCAGTAGCTAAACAATGCCCACATTGAAGCTGGTTTATGCAATTCTTTACTCGTGAAACAATAAAACCTTGCGATATTATGCTAGATGTGCTGAAAGTTTTTCAGAACCTCAGACCTAATAACTTTTAACCACTTTTTTTATGGTAAAAGTGATTACAATTTTACGAACAGAAAAGTTCTTGCTATGATAGCCATATTGGCAGGTCCTACCCATTTTTTGATGCATTATGGAAACTTCTAATCTCTTTGGCATGATATAAAGCCATTGGCAGGCCCTACCCCACTGACTATGCTCAATCACATTATACACATATATATATATATTGAAAAAAATTATGTTTCTTGATAAATTTCACTGAATTCATTTAATTGAAATCTGGGAAGTTACACTCAGTTAAGACTTCCCTATTTATAGGCGTTGGAGACTGAACTTATTGACCAGTAAAAGTTGTGTGACTTTGTTGTGTAGTTGAAGCAGAGAGTGCATGAACTGCTTAATTTGCAGATGACCAAGATAACAGTTACTAGTAACAACCAGGAGAAGTGAAAGGTGCCACTCCACTAAGGTGGAAATCTAATTTGTGAAGAAACTTCCTGGTCAAATAGGGATGTCTGCAACCTTCATGAGCTTGAGTATCTTTTTAAAATAATTATGCTGCTCTGGGGCCAGTTTTACAGCATGAAGAAAAGCTAAGGCTTCATTACTGCTCTCCAAGCAATTAAGCACTTTCGAGTATTTGAGTGGTAGGCTGAGCTTATGAATTTTCCAGAAAAATGTTCGGTCACCTATTAGCTTTATTGAGAAGATCATATTTTCGTATTCAACCGTTTTAAAGAAACAAGAAATGTTTTTTATCAACTTTTCAGTCCATTGGTTGTTATTGGCTGCAGGATGATGTATCTTAACTTTTTAAGTCTTTTGTCAGAAGTTATCATATACTGGTTAATGTCAAAACGATATATTCATAATACTTATAGTATTAATTCTAATTTATACTAATCATAATTCTAAATAGTTAGGATTAAGAAATATGGTCATTTATCCTAAGATAAATAGAAAATAAGAAACAAACCACAAAACTGTGTTTTTCATGTGTGCCAAAACTTTTTACTAGAAAACACAACTGGTTTATTCTGTTCTAACTTCTAGTTTTTTTATATTCATTTCTTTTTTATCTTCTATTATATAAGATATACGATAAATAGTTAGTTTTTGAATATTTTATTGTACATGATTTGTTTTAATCATTATTTGTAATATTTATTTTATCATTCTGACATTATACTTCAAGATATTAATATTGATATATAATTATTGTTTTTATATTTAACTGTTCTAATCATTGATTTAAAAATCGGTTGAATTTTTGGATTGAACTGGTTTTGATAAAAAAATTAAATCAATTTTTTTTATAAAAAATATAATATAATTTAACTTTTTTTTTATCTCAACTTCATATTTAAATAATAATTATTTTATTATATTTTTATCTTATTTTAACAATTATTTATTTTTTACTTTATAATATATTTTATCTTTATAACCTATAGGTAACTTATGGTATGATAATATTATATTTTTTTAATAGTATTACTAATAAATTTATTATATATATTTATTGTGTTTTAAAAATATTATTTTAATATTTATTGTATTTTAAAAATATTATTTTATTAAATTTGGTTAAATCTTTAAATATAAATGTATACGTATTCACCATTTTGGTGATCTGGTTTTAAGAACATTGATTTTAATTATTATATTTATTAACATAATAAACGTATATAATTTTTTTTACTTTATATTAAATTTGTTTAAAAGTATTCTAAACACATAGCCTAAGATGAGTAATAAAATATATAACATAAAAAAAATTGTAAGTAAAATATATAACAAAGTGATTAGTTTGTAAATAAAAAATTACAAAAAATTAAAAGTAATATTTCTATTTATGATAATCTTTAATTGATAATTTTACCAAACACTTATGATGTAATAAATCACCTTAACAACTTTCAGATTTCAATTAACTTAAAGATATTTTCATATATTAAAAGTATTTGCTATGGGGATGTATTTTTCATCTTTGTTGATGTTATGCCTTGTAATGAAAAAGAGAATTTTCCATGCGTCTAATGGAATCATCTGCAACTTTCACACCACTATCCCACACCATGCATCCAATGCTATTATAGAAAAACGCATTCCAAATAAATTAATGACCTCTTTGGTTCTAAATGATAAAGTTAGATTTATAGTGCATGTAGATCATATTGATATTTTTCTAACTTTGATAAGGTCAAAACCATCTATTATATACAATAAATGAATGAAAATAAAAATAAAGTACATGTGTAAAAAGATTGAGAGTAAAGAAACATTATTGCCAATGGAAAATCAAATCCAACAACAACTTCTTCATGAGTCAAGACTTTAACAGTTGAACAAATATATATAATGTAATCTAGTGCCTATGATAGAACATCTATCCTCCAAGTTTTGGTTTTAGTCAAACTTTATGATTTAAGACTCTATAAACATGCTAAAGATAATTGGTCCCAACTATACTTTGGAACAATTATGTCCTGCAATAAAACAGATACATCACATGAACTTTGAATGTTGATCTATCATAATTAATAAGTTTCCTAACATGGTCAAACTGTAAAACCTTTCATATTAAGCTACAATATATTATCATTTGTGTCATTAGGAAGTTTTGAAAAGTAATTTTAGATGAGTGAAGTTTGACTCAATTTCTTAAGTTGAATACCAATCTAATAAAGGTTCACATAAAGATGTGAAATCTATATTGGTCACACATTATATTATATACATATATAAATATATTATATACATATATAAAAAGAAATATTACATGCACATACAAAAGATCAAATTTAAATTAAAATATACAATATTATAGGAGTATTCACTAATTAATAAGTTTGGAGTAGATATATGATGAAATTGGAATGAAAGTGACATTAAAACATTTTTAATATTAAGATTCTATTTGAATCTAAAACCAATTTTTAATACCATTACTTTGCCACGTGTAAGATTAAGATCTTTCAAGATTTTATTTAATTTTTTATGTTTTATTATGTCAGTGAAAAAAATTTTTTTTTTTTACAACAGAATCGTCACAAAATTATATCAAAGTCGTTACAAAACTTTTTTGCGACAAAATATATGACAACAGCCAAAATCGATACAAATTTGGTGTCATATAAAAATTGTGACGATATTTTTAGTACTGTCACAAATTGTGATGATATAAAAATTATTACAAACTCATTAAACAAAATCACAAAAAGTTTCCATTATAGAATTCAACTTGATTGCAATCACTTAAATATGAGAAAATTCTCCCTTAAGTGAAAATTCAAGCAAATGTTACTTAAGCGTGTATTCAAGTTAGTGTTATATTTATAATTTTGTTATTCAGTTCAAGTGTCTTTTAGGTTATTTAAGCGAGCATCGCTTAAGCATTGATATGATTACTTACACATGACTCACTTAAATAATTTACAATTTATTTAAGTTAGGATCACTTTAATGAAGAGGTAATAGTTTAAGCAAAGTTTGCTCGAGCGAAGATGTGGTCACCCAAGTGTAGGGATGACAAAACGGACCAGTTCGTTTCTTTTGGCCTGTCCTGTTTTTGGTCTGCCAAAAACGGATAAGACGGACTGATATACTATAGTCATAACGAGTTGTAGACTTTGGTCCGTCCCACCAAAGGACGGGTTGGTGGGCTAATCCATCATAAATTTTGTAAAAATTAATTTATTTTTTTAAATCAAAATTTTCAATCAATTTAATAATAAGATTATCATTTGTTTGTCAAAAATTCAACATATATATTTTAAGTTCATAATATAAATCAACATATTATTTTAGGAAATTATAGTTTAGAACAATAATAAAATTTATATAAAAATAAATAATAACAAATATATAAAAAACGTCAAAACTTGTAAAATTTATATTTTTTATATTGAAAAATTTAAATAGCTACATCTTTTTTATTTGATAAAACTTTACATTGTCCACCCCTGGAGTAATTCTTCCATTTTTAATTCAAGTCATAAAGATAAAACAATCGAGTACTTAGGATGAATAAGGGGAGATGATGAACACCAAAGAGAAGAGAGGAACTTGTGTTTGAATGAGAAAAATATTTCCTATAACGAGTGAGAGTGAAACTTTTTTAATTTTCTTTTTACAATTTTTAACTTTATACATTGTTTTATGATTAATTGTATTACAACAAAAATTTTATTTTTTTATTAATTAGGCGCGTGACCCATCCTATCCCGTGTGTTGACTCGACGAGATTAACGAGCTTGGTGGGCTGGGCCAGAGCAGACTGGCGGGTTGAAAACACCAACCCGCCCCATCATATTACATCAGGCTAGTGGGTCGACCCGCCAGACCTGACCTATTTTGCCATTAATGGGGTTGTCATGGTTGTGACCTTGCAAAAAGTCTAGTGTTAAAAAGTCTGGTATCAAATTCTCTTTTCTTTTAATAAATTCTATATCAAATTCAAAACAAGATAATAAACTTTGCCTTCTTGCAAATATTTGTTTAGAAATTATATTTTTTACATCCTTTTCCAAAACTTCCTTTGCAGATTTGCAATCAATTCTTAATAATTTTTTATTTATCAAATCATGTTAAATTTTTTGTATATTTAAAACTATACTTAAAACTTCCTTTTTAATGATGTTGTAATTCTTTTAAGCTTCATTCCATATTTCTGAGTGGAATCTGACTATTTGTTCGGGGTTATTTTCTAATTTTTGTTTTAGTATGTCTCCGTATCCTAAATCAGAAGCGTTTGTTTCTACTATTATCTGGTATTCCTAGGGATGGTAAAGTCTTAACTAACCCTTTAACCTCTATTACTATTTTGGTCATATATGGGGTCCATGGTTTGGGGTTTTTTCTAAGTCTATTAAAAAGGGGTTTGCACATTGTTCTTATGTTGGGTATAAAGTCTAATACATAATTTAGGCACCCTAAAAATCTTTGTAGTTGGAGTTTATATTTTATTTTGTTAGGGAATTTTTCAGAGAATTCAATACTTCTTTTGATGGGTGTTATAGTTCCACGATTTATTTCATGTGCTAAAAATTTTATTTGTGTTTGGGCTAGTTTTATTTTCTTTTGTGATATTACCATTCCATTTGCTTTTATAAGATTTTTAAATATTCTTAAATATATTTTATGTTGTTTTATTGATTCAGAGAATATTAATACATCATCAATATAGACAATGACAAATTTAGAATAGGGGTTTAATATATCGTTCATTATTTTTTTAAATTCAGAGGACGCGTTTTTTAACCCCATAGGCATTACGTTCCACTCATATTGCCTGAATGATACTATGAAGACAATTTTGTATTTATCTTGTTCTTTTAACTTGATTTGATAATATCCACTTTTCATATCAAATTTAGAAAATATGGTGGCATTATAAATTCTACTTATTAATTCAGATTTATTAGGCAGGGATACCTGATCTATTTTAAAACCTTATTTAAGGGTTTATAGTTTATTACCATTCTGGGTTCTTCTCTTTCTATTTCAGAGACATTCAACACATAAAATGTAATACAACTCTAGGGGGATTTACTAGGTCTTATAAGCTTTTTATCTAGAAAGGATTTTTTTTTCTACAGTATTCTAATGTTTCTTTATTTAGTTATACAAGTCTTGCTTTTGTGGGAATACTCTTTTTCGAGAATTCTTCTTCGGGTAATTCTATTTCAAAAGTGTTTCTATTTCAAAAAGTTGTCGGACTTCTGCACATACTTCTTTTATAATTTCTTCTTCGATTTTTTTAAAGGTTTTTATAATTTCACGATTTTTTAATTGTTCTTCGATTCTTTTATATTTAATTTCTTGTTTTAGGTATTTTATATGGCTTGTCTTGACTTCTATTTTTAATAAAAAGTTTTCTTCGTTTACTTTAGTAACTAACTGTATTTCTTTATTTTTTATTGGTTTAATAAATTTGAATAGAATATTTTTATGTTTTATTCCATTTTCGGATACTTCAAAAGAGTATATCGAGTACTAGGAATGGGGTTCCTAAAATCATTTATTCACTAATATCAGGGATTAATATAAAAATATTTTTAAAATATTTCCTTTATTACATATGCTTGACATTTGACAATTTATATTTTACCTTTAATTTTTCGAAATTAGCGGTTCTTAGAGTTTGTAAAGTTTTTTCATAGTATTTTGTAGGTATTAGTCTTTCTTTTATACAATTTATATTTTCTCTAGAGTTTACCAAAGCGGTGAATTGTTTGTGAAAATTATTCCTAATTTTTAATGTAACTTTTATATGTTTTGTTGTAAAATTTTTAGTTGATTAACCTTTTCAGCGACTAACGAGTCATTTATAAGGAATTTATTATTTATAATAGTCATTTTTTCTTCTTATATTTTATTTTTTATTTTTAATTCTGTTAATTGAGTTTTAATCTCTCTTATTTCCTTTTTTAAAAAGCTTATTTCTCTTTGTAAATCCTGCAAGTTTACTTGGGTTCTCTTTGTTTATTACCTTTTATAATATTTTTGAAAAATCATACCCACTTATTTACGTTGATGAGGTTTTTGCTTCTTTTTCGTTTAGTATTAAGATCTTTAGTTTATTTAGATATTCTAGCTTATCTTCTTCGTTTGGGAGTTTATCCACCATTTCTAAGACTATTTTGATCTCCATAGTTAAGACATTAATATCAAATATGCAATCACATTTTTCTTCATCTTCGCTGGGGTTAGTAGGGTTTTCTTCTTCATTGCTACTAGTTTCTAATAGATTTTTTATATCTTCTTCTGATTCATATAATAATTTTTTTTCTATTTGATTTTTTACTTCTTCACTCATATTTAGATTTGGTATTTTTTCCCAAACTCTACAGTCTCTTTTCATATGTCCATATCTTTCACATTTATAGCAAACTATTGCTTTCTTTGGATTATATTGATTGTTAATTATAAGGGCTTTTGGTTTTATTATACTTTTAAACTTTCTAGGGGTTTTTCGGGTATTATTTTGAGAAAATTTTCTTTTAGCTATTTGTTTTTGCTTGATTTTTCTAGAGGGAGGGTCTAGTATTTCATATTCGTATTGAATACAGAAATCTCCTAATTCTTTTGTACTACTTTCTTGCTGTCTTTTAATTTGTTTTTCTAATTTTAAATTGTTGCATATCTCTAAGGCAATAATTTGAATTTTTTTTTCCATATGTTATATCTTGCGAAGGTTCCGAATATTTTTGTGATAATCTTTCTCGTACTTTTATTGCAAATATTGGGGGTAATCCAACAATAAATCTTTCTTTTCAAAAGATTTCTTTGCAATCTGTTCGAGTCATTACCATAATTATAAAATTATCTATATATCATCAGAAGTCTCCTAGACTGAGACATCTTAGATTATGTAGCAAGGTACTAGTTTTTTCTTCAAAGGTATTGGAATCGCCCATAAAATTATGAATTATGGATATTATTAATGTTTCTACCATTAGTGGGATTTGGGTATTTCCATCTTGTGTGACTGCTGTTAGAATAAATCTTCTTTGATCTACAGATAGGTAGTTTTCCCACCATCCTTTTAGGGATTCTGTGAAGCCTAGAATTAATAATTGTATCATTTGTTCTTCGATATTTTTAGCCCCGTTTGCCGAAGTAGCCATGGTCATTTCATTAGTCTTTCTTAATAGTTGGTAATCGGTTAATCCATCTATATTTCATTTAGTTATTCCTTTTCCATTAAAGACAAACAGACTTTCTAAATTCCATTGTCTAAGAATGATGGTGATGGGAAGGCAGATTTAACTAAACATTGAAGTTTGATTGGTTACCTTCTTTAATTAACCTAAACTAGACTAAATTTGTAATTCTCTGCTAGTTTGATTTCAAGGTTCCTACACTCACCAAGTTTGACACACTTTGGTATAGGAAAAAAAATACCGAAATGTTTGAAAGGTACATTTTCGTATTTGGTATTATAAAAGGGATGAAAGACTTGAATGTTATGTTGACATTGATTGGCCTAATTCTATTGATAATTCAAAGAACACAACTGATTATGTTTTTTCATTTTACAATGAAGTGTTATCATGAAACTCTAAGAAGCAAAATATAGTTGTTCAATCCTCAACTGAATAAGAGTATTTTGTTCTCATGGAACAACAATTCATTCATAACTATTGCTAAATATCAAGTTTAACATGGAAGAACCAATCATATCAATGTTAAACTTTATGCTATAAGACAAACTGAGAAGAATGGAGATGTTCAATTATTACATTGGAGATCTGAAGAGCAAATTGTTGACATTTTAACCAAAACATTTCCATGTACTAAGTTTAATGAGCTAAGAAGTAAAATGAGAATATTCAAGCAAAGTTTTAAGGAGTGTTAAATGAATTCACCATATAACTTTTCATTTTATTGTTGTTATTAAGTTTACTTATTTCATTCAGTTTTTAAGAAATATTAGCCAGTCAAATAACTTTGGACAAATTTATAAATATAATGGGTACAAAATATTTTGTTGACAAGAATAAATATAATGATACGCAGCATTGTTTCCCTTAGCTCTCCTCTCTTCTCATGTTATAGTTCTATTTTATATTTTTATGGTTAAAGCTATCTTCTTTTAACAAAAGAAGAGGCATTTTCATTCCCTAAATAAACCCAGTAACTAACTGGTCATATTTTTTCTATTCTCAAAATTAATGCATAAAACTTAGGATTTCACAAAAAGTGACAAGACTGTTATATACTAAGGAAAGATAGTTCTACAATAAAAGTAGATCACTTAAGGAAAAATGGATCTGGTTTATCACGCGGACAATTCAATATAACTAATATTTTTTATTTGTCTCGAAAGCATACACTATTAGCCAGCACTGAGATTTTATAATTTTATACAGAGGAGCTGCCAGCGAGAAAGCTTACTGCATTCAAATGAAGTAGTCACGACTAACTATATAAAACACATTCCTTCAAATTGTCAAGATAAAACATTCATAATTAACAATGGTGATGTTGTGATCCTAAATTTGTGTTTAGTGTAAAACCCAACTTCCACGTATAAAGTTTAGGCATAAAGAAAATAAATATTTATGTAAAACATATTTTTAGTCCTTACAAATGTAGAAAATTTGTTTTCAGTCCACCATTTAAAAAAAAACTGACTTTTGGTTCAAAATGCTTTAAAAAAAGGTTAACTTTGCTTCATCCTTAATTCCATTGATATAGTTAACCACATAGGACCAAAAGTCAAACATTTTTAAAAGGAGTGACTAGAAAAAGAATTTTTCCATATTTATAGGAACCAAAGAGATGTTTATTTAACCTAAAAATATTTTACCTATACATAATTTGGTTCAAATATTGTTTTGACCGACTCAAAAACCTCTTCAACAGGCCTTGCAGCATCAATCTAAATGGAAAAAGAAAATAGTCTTAGTACAAGAAGCAATTAAGAATCTTAGCAAAGTGATGGTGGCACCAAAAAGTAAAAATTACCTTGCACACTTTTCCCTTAGCATCATAATAAGCAAGCACAGGAAGACTAGATTCCAAGAAAACCTTAAATCTCTTCCTAATTGATGCTATATTGTCATCTTTTCTTCCCTTGAATATCCACAAAGGGTATTAATTGCTGAAAGCATACGAACAAATAAATTGGGTTTATCAGGATTAAAAGTTAACCTGGTTTCTACAAAGAAGACGCTTCTCCATCTCTTCCTCAGGGCAATCAAAAAACAAGATGAATACTGGCTCTATCCCAGTCTGTGATGGCATCATGCATTTGGAAAACAGAAAATACAATCATCTATTCTAAAAGAAAAAAAAGTAAACAATTCTTTTTATTGAAAATGGAAAATACCCCATGCTCAAATGCTGCTCGGTTTTCCTCGTTACGAGGGAAACCATCAATAAGAAATTTGTCATTGCCACTTTGCTTCATTGCTCGTTGCAGAAGCGTCATTGTTACTTCTGAGGGAACAATTTGTCCTTCTTTGGTCATATTTTCAATCATTGTACTGTCAAATATGAAAGAGTATTAACAAGATTATCCCGAGAGATTTGAACAAGTTTAAACCCAGTACAAAATAGTCGACTGACAACAAGAGTTGGAGTTGATAAGGAATATAGAAGAACCAGTATGAGAAAATATACAATTTCGACTGAAATAAATTAAAATTTTGAATGCATGGTCAAAAGAAAACACTGGACGGAGAAAATGATCCAGAATCAATTTTATGGAATTAATCTGATAGAGTCAGTTTTATGGGATTAATCTGCCGCATGTTCATATTTAGTATGTGCAAGAGCAAGCTGAGGAACATTCGTTTGATATCATACACAAAATTTCATACAACCTAGGCAAAATTTGATAGAACATAAACTTAAGAAAAGGAAGATCGATTATATTGATTTAGAAGGAAAGCGTAAAGTAAAACCTCTGCCTCGACAGTCATCGAATTTGAGACTAGGGCTAAAAATTCAGATGCTATCTGGGAATCAACATCAATGACATCACACCACTCAAGAAGAAACTTTAAGTAGACAAACAATGAGATCTTCCATGGAAGGCATCTTTCTTAGTAGGTGAATAAAGACCAAATTCGAAACTACAAAACTGACTTGTCATTGAAGTTTGTGTCCCACTTTTATACTACAATTTAGTCATATATCTTGTCCATGTTGGATTTGAACAATCTTAGATATGTTAGAATCTTATTCCCAATAAATTAAAAGTCCATGTGGACATCGTGAAGAACAAACACCACAAATCACATCGATTGGAGATCTTCTATAGTAAATTTAGTTCTATTTAGATAAAAGGGAAGGTCATTTGAAGTGTTGTCAAGCTATGATCACATTCACATAGCCGTTGTATATCATTAGCATAATAGACATTCTGGGCTTTCTTTAAAACATTACAACATATTTTATAAGGTAAAGAATGCACCATCAATTTTCAGTCAATAGATTGCAATAACAAAGATATAATCTGATAATCATCCTTTAGCCAATCATTCTTTTCAGTAGTGGCAGTGTTAGTAGACTTCCGAATGAGGTTATTTGAAAGGCCTAAAAAAGAACTAGCGCTCAATTGCATCGCGCCAATCCATGTAAGAATGTGAGTAGAGAAGTCTATTAGGAAAATTATATGTTGTTACTTATTTTCTTTGTTTTAAAAGAAACACAATATTTACTTTGTAAATCACCCAAAATCTCTTATTTCTCCTTTCTACTAGTACATTGCATAGTAGTTGGGTTCTATTATTTTTGCGAGGAAATATTATTATTGTTTTCTTCTTAGATTTAAAGAGGGTATTGTAATTTCTTCCAATAGTAAAATTCTATTATTTTCTATTGTCGATTTTGTTTTTCTTTTCTCATCTTTTATTTTAGTTTTGAGTTCTTATGCAGTTACTTTTATTCCTAACAATCCAAACTATTAAAACCATTTAAATATTCAAAATTGATGGTGGGAGCTAGAGATAAGAAATGACATCAAACCTTCCTTTGAAATTTGGGATGTGGGAAACTGTTATGATAGAACACTAGGAGATAAGAATACCATGCAGAGGGAACATTCTACAGAAACAGTTCTGAGATCATTTCATAAGTGATAGAACACTAGGAGATAAGAATACCATGCGTGGTTACATGTGGTAATATTATCATATCTTATGCTTAAATATAATTTTTATATTTCTGGCAAGTTCTTATGATTAGTTGACAACATGATATTATGATCTTTCAACTCCTTTTCGTCTAGAGTAAGATCTCAATTTTAACAACCTTGAATGAAAAAATATTGCATATAATCAATCAAAGTCAACACATAATCAATAGTTTTGAAAGACACAAAGGATTATGAACAATTAGTACTTTGGACAATAAACACATTGATAAATTTGTATAAAGACAAAACAAAGCTTTACCCATTTTCTGAACCAGATTCCGCTTCTGCTCGCAAGAGATCACCAACACTGAGGTGAGTATACCCAAACTGTCGAACAATGTTTGTACATTGTGTGCCTTTTCCACTGCCAGGGCCACCTGTATCATTAGCACATAAAGAATCAACAAAGGCTAGAAAATGCTAACTTCAACTCAAAACACAATTATAGACCCCAAATCTTGTTCGGCTTCTCAATAAAGACCAGGAATCCTCCGTTTGAAGATGAACAAGGCTTCATTGGGCCCCTGGGCATGTTCACTAGGCTCCATGTAAGAATATGAGGGCTTTGTGTACACAAAAAATAAGAAAAAATAGGAAAATGCTGACAGGGGGCTCGAGACGCCATCTCATTTGGCCAGATGGCCATCTCGCTTTCCTTTGAGGTCGAGACGACCATCTCGTTTGGCCAGACGGACGTCTCACTTTCTTTTAAGGTTGAGACGACCGTCTCGTTTTCCCAAACGGTCGTCCCACCTTTCTTTGAGGGTGAGACGGCAGTCTCTAAATCCCAGACGACCGTCTCACCTGTCAGAAGTCCAGACGACCGTCCCGGCCTGTCTGACGTGAATTCCTATAAATAAGAGTCTCCCCTCCCCCATTTTCACACACTCTCACACCCTTCTCTCCAGTGGTGGATCTTCTTGGAAGCTGAGGGGGGCCGAGGCCCCCCCAAAGTTTTGTAACTCCAATGTAATTTATGATTTTGGCCCCCCAAACTTAATGAACATTTAATATATTTACTTGTATATTTATAATTTTATCCTCTTAACCCCTCCTCAATTTTGTAACTCTCATAATTTATGATTTTGTCCCCCTCATCATTTAATATATTTAAGTATATATTTACAATTTTATCCTTTCACCCTTTCATCTTCTTTTTTCCTTTTATATTTATTTATTATTTATTAATAATATATTATTTGGCCCCTCCAAGATCAATGGTCAAGACGCCACTGCTTCTCTCATCCTAGAAGCTCTCCTAAGACTTCGGGATAACTCTGAGCACTTTCTAGAGTTCGAGTAAACTTTCCGATTTCCGTTTAAGGTAGAAATCGGTTAAGGAAGTCTCCTTTTGAGACATCCGGCACTCAATAGGAGGGTATTTTCTCTTTTGCTTGTGAGGAGCGTGCTTGTAGAGCGAGGGGATTGCCAAAAAGTGTCCTCAAGTTTAAAGAGTTAATAGAAAGTTCGCTTCAGAGGTTCCTTTCTCTATTCTCTCTCTTTTACTACTTTTTTTTTACTACTTTCCTTGTATACATTATATACTAGGGTCATGTAGACATTTAAATTCTGCTAGTAGATAAATAAATAGGGTAAAAGAATAGTTTCTTTCGGTCTTTATTTTATGAATTAGTCCATCATAAGAAACCCGAAAGGGGCGTCGTGGGGTGCTAACACCTTCCCCACACGTAACTAACTCCATTACCCAACTCTGTTTGTAACGGCCAAAGTTGATTTTTCTAAACCAACGCCTTCTTTTCTTCCTTTTCCGATGTTTATGGTAAAAACATCAATGGCGACTCCATAGAACCCTTTACAAAAACCTCGCTTTTAGATTCAGTCTGGTTATCGGACAACCTAAAAGCGTTGACCGCTTTTTACAAAAACGCGAGTAATCAAAACCATCGCATTGCTCTGATTGTCTCTTTTGACGGCAGCGACAACAACGACATAGGAGAAACCAGATTCACACTTCAAGGGTGAAACTAAGAGAAAAGGATTTATGATATGTTGTTTTACAAGGTAAAGTGATACACTGGTGGATCGGGAAGGAAACCCAATTGAGGAAGTGGATGGAAACCAATTGAGGAAATGGAAAAAGCCCAACGAAGTGGGTCAAGCAGATTGGATAAACAGGATTCACCCCAACATATGAAGAAGCTTCCAGAATGGAAAGAAGACTGCGTATGATTGTCAATTTGTCAGCTTTTAGGAGTTGTTGTCATAGCCTGACAATAGGAACCTTTCCTATTATTTACATCTTTTCATAGATTTTGAAATTTTGTTATGATCTTTGCCATGATCTGATACCACTTGGTAATAGTAGCATGGTGTAACAAGACTGGTCATCGTGACACATGGTAGGGAGCAATTGAAGAATGAAGGTGCACCAATCATAGTGACAGACAATGAGAGAATAAAGGAGACAGAAAAATGTACAAAGAGGATCCATGAATCATGCATCCCCACAAAAGCACTGTGAGAAGCAACAAAATGTACAAATGAGAGATTTTGTAATGGGAAAGAAAAGAGGGTTTTTTTTAGGCTGATTGTTGGGACATAGTTTTTTTGGTGACCAATGTTATCTTCCTCCTCAGGTAAAATCTTCTTCTTCTATTCCTCACCTTATATCTTCTCTACAAACAAGTTCTCTCATATTTAATAATAAAATCATAGCCTCGTTGTCCATTCACATTTTATTATCTCTTTCTTTGCTACTCTCTTTTGTTTTGTAAGTAAATGGGTTAAATTGGTGCATTCATTCTCTGAGCAACTTAGAAATGATTGAAAATACCCGTATGAAAGAGATGTCCAATGACACTCAACACTTGAAACAAATAGTATCCTCCTCAGAGAAGAGAGATATGGAGAATTTTGTGCAACTCCAGAGAATGAAGTCCAGACTGATCGAGCTAAATGAATTAATAAGAGGAACTCCCTTCAGGAATATTGAATATGCTCACTCGACTAAACAACCATTTCAAGTAAGGCATGTAAAGGTAGAATTTCCTAAATTTGATGGTTTCGAAGTTCTTCAATGGATCCTTAAGGCAGAACAAATTTTTTTTTATTTCTATGATACTCTTGACGGTCATATAATTACTATAGTTGCTCTCCATTTGAAAAAGGTAGTGGTTCCATGGTTTCAAATGGTCACTAGAACACAACCATTGCAAACATGGAAATCATTTACTACAGCTCTAGAACAAAAGTTTGGACCTTCTCTATTCTATCCTAGATCCACCCTTTTTAAACTCAATTAACAAAATTTAATAAATGATTACTATGTGGAATTTATTCCATTGGCTAGTAGAGGTAATGGTGTGATCTCTAATGCATTGTTGCCATTGTTGGATTGTTTCATTAGTGGTTTAAATCTGATATTAAACGAGATGTTATAGCTCAAAGTTCCTTAATTGCTAAAAGTGGTTGCACTTGCTAAGTTGAATGAAGAAAAATATGTCCACAAACCCAAACCACCTTACAAACCCCCCATATCTACTTCCACCTATCCTAAAATTCACAATTCTCAGCCACCTCTTCTACCAACACCATCAATCAAACCAAATTACCCACCACTGCAACCTAATCCTGTCAGAAAAATGACCCAAACAAAAATTCAAATATGATGAGATAAAGGTCTATGCTACACTTGTGATGAGAAGTTCACACTTTAACACAAATGTCCTAATAGACATTTCATGACATTGCAAATCGATGAAGAGCTTGGGCTGCCAAACAATTCTACAGTACCTGAAAGTGAAGAAACATCAAGATTGGCAGTTGAGATGGATCACCATCTATCCTTCAATGCATTAAAAGGGATAAGTGGATTGGGAACCATAAAATTACATGGTAGGATCAAAGGCCACACTATGAAAATCCTCCTTGACAGTGGTAGTTCAGACAATTTTTTGCAACCAAGAATAACATAATTTCTGCAGCTAATAGTTGAGCTAGCTCCAAGATTTCAAGTGATGGATGGAAACGGAAATTTAATGGTTGTAGAAGACAGAGCACTAGAATTATCAATGGAGGTACAAGGCTAGAAACTGCAACCGCCAATTTATTTGTTGCTTGTAGCAGGTGCTGATTTGATATTGGGAGCAATATGGTTAACAACACTAGGTCCTCATATAGCATACTACAATGCCTTACAGTCCAGTTTCTGCTTAATGGGCAATATGTCATAATTCATGGCAATAAATCACAATTGCGTCAACAAGCACAATTCAATCACATCAAGAGATTGCAACAAACAAACACTATAGAAGAATTGTTCCATGTGCAACTAAAATCAATTGACTGCAACGAAGATGAATTCCTAGAATTTCAACAAGATTTAGACCCTGAAGTAGCATTGTTACTACATACTTACAAAGGGGTTTTTAATAAACCTATAGGACTACGTCCCAAAAAGACACAAGATCATGCAATTCCATTGATTGAAAGGAGAAATCTTGTGAAATTCAAGCCTTATAGATATGCTCATATTCAGAAAAATGTGACTGAGAATATGGTACAAGACATGTTGCAAGAAGGAACAGTTCAACCCATTAGCAACCCCTTTTCATCTCCTATATTGCTAATCAAGAAGAAGGATGAGACTTGGGGATTTTGAACAAATTACGGGGCACTCAATGCAATCACAATCAAAGTTAGGTTTCCTATTTCCACTATGGATGAACAAATTGATGAACTTTTACGTGCTCAATTCTTTTCAAAGTTGGATTTGAGGTTTGGACACTACCAGATTCTTGTCAAACAATAGGATAGGCACACAACAGCTTTTAGAACACATTAAGGTCATTATGAGGGGTTGGTGATGCCATTTGGCTTGACTAATGGCTCTGTATCCTTCCAACAATTGATGAATCAAATTTTTCAGAGTTTACTGAGAAAATGTATTTTGGTATTCTTTGATGACATCTTGATCTATAGCCCCTCATGATCCGAACATTTACATGACTTAGACACAGTACTACAAATACAACAAACCAATGTTCTCTATGCAAAGTTGTCGAAACGCATATTTGGTACACAACAGGTGGATAATTTAGGCCATACAATTTCCTACCAGGGAGTAGCCATCAATAAAACAAAGGTTGAGGCTATATTGAAATGGCCGGAAACCAAAAACTTCAAATAGTTGAGAGGATTTTTGGGTCTTGTTGGATATTAAAAAAGGTTCATCAAGAATTATGTTGCTCTTGCAAAACCGCTAACCAACTATTCTAATAATCAACTAGCAAATGTGTTTACCAAATTATTATTATGAGAACCTAGAACTGATTATATTTATAATAAGCTTAGGGAATACAATTTATATGCACTAATTTGAGGAGTGTTAGATATAATGGGCTTAGTCCCATATCACTTATATTTTCTTAATTTATGTATTTTTCTTAACTATAATGAGATAACCCTACGTGTTTAATACACATTAGGGATTCAGCCTATGTTTCTCTTATTTCAACAAAAAAGAAATGAGATTTTGGTTTTAGACTGACTGTTGGGACGTTGTGTTTTTGGTGAATAGTTTTATCTTCTTCATCTGGTACATTTTTCTTCTTCTCACCTCACTCTCTTGTTCTTCTTTTGTTGCTCACCTTATATCTTTTCTGCAAACAAGTTCTCTCACTATCATAGTTAATAATAAAATTATAGTCTCGCAGTCCATACAAATTTTATTATCTCTTTTTCTTCTACTCTCTCTGTTAGGTAACACTTGGGTTATCTTTTTTATATATCAGTAAGAATAAAATAGAGGCTGAGAGAAGTATTATCCCGAATTTTTTGTTGATTTCCTCTCTTTTTTGCTCGAGTTCTCTCCAAAGGAATATTGATCTTTTCCCTATCATAAAGACATTTTAATGCCCAAAGGAAACGACAAAACCGGAAAAGAACAAATATGTCCGGTTTGGGATGCCCACAAACTTTCCACCATTATTAATGGTACCTCATCGATGAATCTATCCCTCTAACCTAGAGTTACTTAAACTCGAGTATGTTAGAATCAGGGACAGTATATTTAGAAAACTATTGTAATATTGAATATGATAATAGTAATAGTGACTTCCATTACCATAAAGTATCCATACCTACCCAAAACATTATTCCTTTCAAGGGCAATAGCAATAACAATAAATCTATGATAAAATATGGCCATTAGATTTGTTAAGAAACTTTTTAGATTCTAGCACTAGTTCACTCTCCATGCCAGGTATTTCAAATGGCAAAACAATAGAGTATTATGTAAAATAGAAGCTAGCTGCAAGTGCAACCATTCAGTCACATGAAAATCAGCATAAAAAAACTGCCCGGATTGTTAACTTTTAACGTTAAGTTAGACACAATCCTCCACTCATCAAAGCCTATCCCAGCCTGATGTTGGGACCATCCATAATTTTCTACCTGTAAGCTACACACAAATGTTCAGTCAGATGCAAGGTGTGTGTTAAAATCACATATTAGATAGGTATATGACCAAAGTTCTCCAAGAAATACTTGGAGAATCCTCCCCACTTGAACTGGCTTAGTTAGTTCCAATATGTTCTCAATTCTAATAAATATTAAAAACAAATAAAATTTTAATGTTATTCAAAGGCATTGTATGAGTAGAAGTAATAGGGAATCGACAGAATTACAAGAAGGGAGAGAACATAGTTTATATAGATTTTTAGTGTTAGATATAAAAGCCTAGTTCTATTAATAATCTAGATACTCAAGTCGGATCATATAAAATAATTATCAAACACCTGAGAAAAAATATCTACCACAGAAAATAGAGACATTGCAAGTCCCCCATTATGATGTATTCAAATATGATTACAAAGTGGGGAAATCCAATAGATATACAGTAAACTCAACTGGACTAGTTTAAATAGATTAGTAAATGAAAATAAATCTGGATTATATCAAAGGCCAATCAAATGGATGTTTCTATAGAAATCCTTGATTTTTAATGCAATGAGTAAGTGCTCACCTAATACAAAAACAACTGTAGGTTTTTCCTCTACACTGCTTACATTTGCACCCTCAAATGAATTAAGCTAAAAAGGAAAACAAAAATGATTAAGCAGTTAATAATATTTATAGTATATAAGCATGATGTGTTTTAAAAAAAAAAAAAAAAACTCACAACATACAAAAGGAAAAAGAAAAAAAAAAAAAGTTTAAGCCTTGTAACAAACTTCCCTAATTGGAAACTGATGTGTGAATAAATGTGAAAATATTAGGGACTATGTGGGATATAAGGAAGGAGTGGAAAAGGAGAGAGGAGGCCTATCCATTGAGAAGTTTTGGGGTGGCTTTTACCACAAAGAATAGAAACATTCTTGTCTCTACTTTGTATTCTATTTATTTCTCTCGTTTTCTTACAATAATCAGAGCTCTGTTCATTGAATTTTCCTACAGTGAATTCCAGTTTCTAAATTGGTATCCAAACTCCTTTCTCAGAAATTTGTTATAATTCCTATAGTGAATTCCAGTTCTTATCAACTGCACTTCCACAGCTTTCCCAACTACCAAATCTAAATGCATAAATGCTAGAAGAAAGTTTAGCGGATAACACAGCCACAAATACCTGGTTTGAAGCTTCAACAGCAGTTCCCATGAAGATTTATTTAATTATGCTGCAAAAAATGAGAATAATTTCACAAGCAAATAAATGACATACCAAAAGTAAATCATTTAACAGTTATAATATTTCAAATTTCATTCATAAAACAATTCTATGCATGGACTCAATTCACAGAACTGAATTACCAAGTGCTTTTAATTAGCTCAAAATACATAATTTTTATTTAAATTATGGCACAACAAATCAAGATAGACAAGCACTATAGTTTCTGACTTTTCTACAATCCCTTTTACTTTTTCTTTTAATTGATTTTTTTTTTTAATGAAAGGAAATATTGGTGATTAGACTCAGGTAATAAATTTAGATTATATAAATCCTAACATACAAAGTCATTACTCAATCTCAGATAAAAGTATCAGCAGAAACAAGGTACAGATAAAATTTCAATAATTAATAGCAATAGTCATTAAAAAAACTCAGATAAATTTTTAGGTAAAGCCCGGATTAAAAAAAAAAAGTAAATAAAAATTGGCAATCAGAGTTCCCATGTCAGTTCCAGTTCAGGGTACGGAAAATCCACATATCCACATACGAGACTGCAGCCGATGAAGTTTCATAGATGAAAGAGTTTCAAAGTAGTTTAGAGAGCTCGTACCTTCGACGGAGAGATGACTACGAATTTGGTTTTGGGTTTTGATTTTTGTATTGGGACGGTAAAATGGGATATTCCCTACTCTTTCCAAGAAATTCGTTGATATATCAAAACTACAGTGACTCTCAAACAAAAAGAGAGCATAATATATTATTTGACAGAAGAAAGTTTATAATTCATAATTCACTTTCTTTGAACAATTCTTTAATATTGTTCAATTTCCAACACAAGAATAGAAACTTCTATTACAGGATATAGAATACACTCTCGCTAACACAACACTGCACACTTTCCAAATCCATATTTGATTAATTTTTAGCCGGCACATCATGTTTATTGTATTTATCTCACTTCTTAACATTTTGATAATAATTAAAATAAGAACATTTTAAGTTTCTATTTAGCAATATTTTTTAATTCGGATTAATCATTGGTGAAAACCTGGTTCTTCAATCTTATTCGTTAAATTTAATAAAATAATATTTTTATAATATAATAAATATGTAATAAATTAATTTATAACATTTTTATAATATAATAATTTATTAATAATAATATTTTTTATGAAAAATAAAAAAAATAAAAATTATTATCATAATCACTACAAATTATAATAAAAATTATAAATATAAAATATATTTAAAAATGTATGATAAATAATTGCTAAAATAAAATAAACTAATTATTATTCAAATTGACTAATTAATATAAAATAAAAAAATAGAAAAAAAATTAAAATATTATATTTTTATAAAAAAATTATATTATAAATTTTTATTTTTATCAAAACTAGTTGAACAAAAAATTTTACTAGTTTTACTAATTTTTTTATTTTATTTTAAAATTTAATTAAAATATGATTATTTTGAAAATGAATCCATTTTTAAATGTATTCTCAATTAAATTGATTAAACGGTTGGTCTTCATCTATTTTGAAAAAGGTGCTTTTGTTTTAATAATGATTAAAATTTGAATATTGCTTGTGATGGAGAAATTATGTAACAAAGGGAAAATACAAAACCAGATTGAGGCAAATGGTGTGTGTAGGTATGTGCAAAAATAAACAAAGAATAAAATAAGAAACCAATAACCTGCGAGAAGAAAAGGCAAATTTGATTTTGTATATTTTAATAACACAGTGTTTGGAACATTCAAAAAATTTACTTGAGACAAATAATAATAATAATTATATACATTTAAGAAGAAGAACTATCATAGTTAAATATTAACAAACCTAATAAGATTTGTCTCTTTTGTGAGAGACTTCTCTCCTTACCCACTAACATTTCTCATATAATCAACTTCTCCACTTTCCATCTAATTCTAAATGTATGATGATAAAAGTAAATTATTATGACATTTTCTTATATTTTCTCAAATTAGGCTTGTATAAAATTTGAGAAAATTTCATAAATATAAATTTGTGGTAATAATAAGTTAGAGCTTCATTGTCTTCTCTTTCATTTACTTTTTCAAGCACATGATACTGTTTGCTCATTCAGGTTACTTTTTTAGTATTATTGGTACCCCTCTCCAAAATTCATTGCATGGCATTCCTTTTTTGCAAAAATGGACAAAACAACTCGAATAGACTAAAATTAGACCTTTTTCACACCTATGGATGGACCTGGCACGGTGGAGTAAACATAATTTTGAAAATTAATTAATTAAATATTTTAAAAAATTACAATATTATTATTCTCTGTAATAATTTAAGTATTATTGTTTTTGATAAAAAAAATGAAGAAAAAAACAATTTTGTATTCTTAAACAAACAAATATCTTCAATTAAACATTCTGTACTTTTGTTTGTTATCATATGTTGATCTACATGCATTAAAAACACTAAAAATAATAACAAATAAAGGACCAGAAAGGACTATTCATTTAATAAAAGAAGGGTGGTGATAAATGTGTAAGTTACTACAGTCTGTGTGAGTTTAGAGGGTTTTATTTTTGAAGACATTTGAAACATGACATTGATATTCTTGTACTGAGTATGATCTTTTTGACAGCATGCACAGACGGCGTGGAGACCCTTCAAAACTATTTGACCTGGATGAACACTTGTATTTTTACCCTTCCTTTTCTTGCCGCCATCTTTAGGAATTTGGAAACACTACTCTACTCTGTGACTCTTCCTCACTCTTCCTTCCCTATCACTCCCATGACGGCTTATTCTTCCTAACTTTCTGATTTTTTATTTCATTCTCACCTTTCCATATCACTTATTGCGCTCTAGATTGATCCTGGTGGACTCAGCCAGAGAAAATAATTCATCTTTGGCTGCATGGTTCCTGTGTTGTTTGAGAATATAAGAAAAATTGTTTTTGCTTTGTTTTGTTCTGCTTTCTTTGTTGTTTGAAAATGTATCAGGGTGTTCCAGTTGCTTGCAGGACTAGAAGCAATAAAGGTGTGGTGGTGGGGAATGGTTTGATATTGGGTCGGAAAAGGAAAAGAAAGGTGAATGAACATGATGACGAAGTGATTTACTTAGGAGAAAATTTAGAAAGCGAAGTGGGTGCAAGTGGGAAAACTACATCTGTGTCTGACGCTTCGTGTTCATCACCAGATGCTATGAAGAAGGGTTACATGTTTATGGGAGAGGGTGAGGATGATCCAATAGAGGTGGTTGACCTGGAAGGTGGAGATGGGACTGAAGCGGAGCTGGAGTGTTGCAAAAGAAAGACTTTTAAGGTTAAGGAGGAAGAGAGGGGTGAGGAGGGTGAAGGATGTTCGGTTGTTGCTGATAAAGTTGAGAGCTTTGGTGATGATGAGTGCGGCGCTAGACCTGAAAAGCCGGTTGTTTTGATACCTGATTCAGATGGGGGTGGTCAGAGTGAGGAGAAGCATGGCAGGGATGAATGTAGTAGTTTTGATGATGGATATGATTCATTTTCGTCCTCAACTGAGAGTGAGGATGGTGAAACGAGTGATGATGATTTTAAGGTTGAGGATGATGCTGAAGATGATGGGGTTGAGAGTGAATCCTCGGGCAGTGAGGAGAGTGATTATTCTTCGGATGATGATGATGAAAGGGGGGAATATAAGATGGTTAAGGAGAGGGTAAGAAAGGTGCAGAGTGAATCTGAGAGCAGTAGAGTTTGGAGAAGGAAAGGTCAAAGGAAGAGAGAGGAGGAGGAGGAGAAATGGAATGGTGCTGATTGTGCTAGTGTGGCATCTAGTAAATCAGAGACTTGTAATGGGGAAACAAAGACAGCTAAAGAGAAACGTGAAGCAAACCAGAGTGTCAATGATTCTGATCCTGAAGTCGTTGGTGATCAGTGGCAAACTCCATGTTTCTCTATGCCTTCTGAAGATGAGGCACCAGAGGATAAGGAGAAAGAAAGTAGGGGTCATCAAAGGGTATTCATGCAAAAAGAGACAAAAAATTCCGTTGTGATCAAGAAGAGTGAGAAAAATAATATGGTCAAGGCCAATGGTAAAAAAACTGTAGACAAAAGTGAGCTCCATGATATCCTGAGGATGTCATCTACAACAAAGAACCAATACTTTGAATTCTTCACTGAATGCTTTAGGGGCAAGCGTGATTCAAAAGTTTCGAAAGAAAAGGTTGATGTTGATAAGGGTCAGACTAGGCCATTAGGTTCAAGGGAGGCAATCCCTTTAATCTGGAACTCTATGGAGAAAGAAAATCCTATTGAAAAATCAGAGTCTGAGAAAGAGTTAGATATGTTGTGGGAAGAAATGGAGATGTTGCTTCAAGCTGAAAAAATTGGCTCCCAGGTAAATCTCCTTTTACTAGCTGAAAGGCCAAAAAAAATGTAATATAATTCAGTTATGGTCATTAGATGTTAAGAACTCTTAAATTTGAAGTTTGTGTCCTCACGTGCATGTGAGTAAAGTGGTCCCCTGAAGAAGGACACCAGTGGTAGAGTGGTAGCATGTGATTTTGAATATTTGATCTCTGTTTTGACTTCATCATGAATGGATAAATGGTCAAACAAATTGTTCTTTATATAAGAGAGAAGTCAGTAACAAACTTTGTATGTTACAATCTGCAGGTTGATAACATAAGGACAAACGAAGAAAGAGAAAACGAAGAAAATTCAGCCTTGCAGTGCAAGCATGATACTATTTTTGATGAGCAGACTGGGATATACTGCAGATGGTGCGGTTGGATTGCCACCGAAATCAAATATATCACGCCACCATTTGTAAGCTCTGTTTAACTTGCGAACTCAGAAAGAATGATATATTTTTTCTCTATTGAACTATGATGCCCACTGTAGTTTCGTATATGCGTTTTTTTTTTTTATGTAAAAAGTGAAACAGTGATTGACTACTTCAGGAAGCATAGAGCTTAGATAATTTTGCTAATTTTCGTTTGCTGTGATTTGATTGTCACGCTTAATGCAATAGGGTGGTGGAAGTACTGATGTTTGCGTCCTTGTTTGCATTGCGCATAATGCAGGTGGATCCTGAGAGATGTGGCAGAAGGTTGTCATCTGGTGGAGGGAACACCTCGCGATTTGATGGGGCTCTGTTCACTGAATCTGGCGATCACTCAGAGGCAATTAGGTCTCATAATCATGGCACAGTTTGGGACCTTACTCCTGGCACAAAAGAAAGCTTGTTTCCTCACCAACAAGAGGGGTTTGAGTTTATCTGGGCAAATTTGGCAGGAACCACTGACCTTGCCAAGTTGAAGAGGGTTGATCCTCAGAGCGAGGGTGGGTGCATAGTTTCTCATGCTCCTGGAACTGGAAAGACCAGGTTGACCATGGTGTTTCTGCAGACATATTTGCAAGTGTTTCCCAAGTGTTTACCCATTATCATTGCTCCTGCCAACATATTACTCACTTGGGAAGATGAGCTGAGGAAGTGGAACATAGGGATTCCATTCCACAATTTGAACAATGCTGAATTATCAGGGAAAGAACATGCCATTAGGGAAGTTGATTGGTTATTCAACCAACAGCAGAAGAAGGATGTCATAAGAATGGTTAAATTGTGTTCTTGGTACAAAGAGAAGAGTATTCTGTTAATCAGCTACAATCTATATGAGAAGCTAGCCGGGGGAAAATCTGAAGGAGATGGAGAGAAAGAGAAGAAAAATAGTAAGATTGGAAAAGAGAAGAAACGTGCAAGGTCTAGGGAGTATGTTGAAACTGCATTGGGAAATGTTCTGCGAGAATATCCTGGTTTATTAGTTCTTGATGAAGGTCACACACCAAGGAACAAGCGTAGCTGTATTTGGAAGGTTCTCTCGGAGAGTAGAAGTCAGAAGCGGATCCTTCTTTCAGGGACACCTTTCCAGAACAATTTTCTTGAACTCTATAATATTTTGTGCTTAATGAAACCATCTTTTCCTGACAGCATACCGCAAGAACTTAAGAAGTTTTTGAAAAATAAATTAATACAGGAAACGAAAGCTTCAAAAGATGATAACTGGGAACCCGTTTCTGCTGGAAATCAAGCTGATGAAAAAATAAACCAGCTAAAGCTGCTGATGAATCCCTTTGTTCATGTTCACAAAGGTAGCATTCTTCAGAAGAACCTTCCTGGTTTAAGAGATTGTGTACTGGTTTTGAAGCCAGAATGCTTACAGCAAAAAATTCTGGAGAGCATTGACTGTTCTCAAAATGCACTAAATTTTGAGCACAAGTTGGCCTTGGTCTCTGTCCATCCCTCCCTTTTCATCAACTGCGCTCTGTCAAAGAAAGAAGAATCTGATGTTGACTCAGAGCTGTTGAAAAAGATTAGATTAGACCCTTATGAAGGGGTTAAAACCAAATTTCTGATCGAGTTTGTCAGACTATGTGATGCAGTTAATGAGAAAGTCCTTGTGTTCAGCCAGTTCATTGATACCTTATGCTTAATCAAGGACCAGCTGGAGTCAGCCTTCAATTGGACTGTGGGAACGGAAGTGTTGTATATGCATGGCAAGCTTGATCAAAAGCAAAAGCAGGTTCTCATTCATAGTTTCAATGATGCAAATAGTCAGGCAAAGGTGTTGCTTGCTTCTATAAAAGCATCTTCTGAAGGCATCAATTTGGTTGGAGCTTCAAGGGTCGTGCTTGTTGATGTTGTTTGGAATCCCTCGGTGGAAAGGCAAGCTATTTGTCGAGCGTATAGACTTGGACAGAAGAGGGTTGTTTATACTTACCATCTTCTTGCACAGGGCACTCCCGAATGTGCAAAATATGGTAAACAATCAGAGAAGGACCGATTATCTGAATTGGTTTTCTCAAGTAGAAATGCTGAAAATGATAAGCTTGAGAATGTTGGAGTAAAGTTTGAGGATAAAGTTCTTGATCTCATGGTTCAGCATAAAAATCTCAAGGACATATTTGGTGAATGTCTGGTTCAGCCAAAGGACAGAGATTTGGAAACTTTGGGCCCCTAATGATTTCAGTGTTGGAATTCTTTAATGTTATACCATATTATTTGGATGACATTAAAATTATTGTTTCACAATTTAATTGAATTTTATGACTGCCGCAACTATGTTAATGGTTGAACACAGACGTTGATTATTTGCTCCATTCTTTATCATGTTTGTCATTATGTTTGCTGCACAATTTATTTCAAACTTGCTCCATTCTTTATCATGTTTGTCATTATATTTGTTGCACAATTTATTTCAATTTTTAAACGTATGTATGAAACTTTTTTTATTTTATGTAAATGAAATATTTGGTTTATTTTTTTATTTCTTGATAAAATTAATGAACTTTTTCTAGTCTTAAAAATGTCTTGTTTTTACTTTTTCCGTCTTTAAAAACATAATTTATTTTTGGTTTCTAAAGTGTTCTTTTAAGCATATTATTACAATGCTGACTAAACAAAATAATTAATTTAAAAGAGAAAATAATTATTAGAAAAAAAAAATTTAAAAATTATGAGGGATCAAAACAAAATCCTATAATTTATGAGGGGCAAAAACATAGTAAGGCCTTTGAGACAAGTTTATGACATCAACAAATTTTGCTAATGGTTGAATACAGAAGTTAATTATTGACTCCAATTTTTTGATCATGTTTGTTGCACAATTTTGTCTACAAATATTCAAGTGTTTTTATCTTTTAATTTTATATTTTGTTTTGACTTGTATGTATAAACTAAATAACTGTTGGGACAATTCTGATATGTGGACAGAAAGCATCTTAAATTCACATGTAAACTCAATTTGTGAATTTTTTTACAATGTTTGGCTCAATTAAAATGGTTGTTCTCGCGGTAAGTCCTTTAGTAGAAAAATTCTCAATGTATGCAGGTTTTATAGTTTTTGTGATCTGAATCAGGTGATAAATTAATTTCACAACTAAAAAGTATGAAAGAATCTAAATAAACAATGGGAAAGCCTACCTACAATGGGAAAGAATCTAAAAGTATGATATAATTTATTATAATGATAGATAACATATTTTTTATATAATTAAGTTATAATTTTTTTTATATAATTTTTCAAAAAATAAAAATTATAATAAATAATTGAAAAATCATATTAAAATTATTAAAAATAAAAAATTATTTTATTTCTTATTTTTTTCATTATTTTTTTCTTAATAATTAAAAGTAACTTGTGAAAAATAAAATATAAATAATTTTATTGTTTGATAAAAAAAATGTTATTAAAAAAATATTTTATAAAATTATTCTCTCTTTAATAAATTATTATTCATTCATGTTTAAAATATTTTAATGAAGTGTGATAAATAATATATTTATATTTTTATTATTATTTTATTAATTTAAATTCAATTTAAAAAAATATATAATTTTATAATAAAAATATTTTATCATTATATATCAAGTATATATTAATGAGAAAAAAATGAGATATGTTAATTTAAAAAATTATTTTATCGATATAAATATAATTAATAATTATATGAGTAATTTTATAATTGTATAAATATTTAATGATAATTTTTTTATTAGTTTTTATAATAAAATATTTGTCTTTTTTCCTATTACTTTCTAACAAATATATTTTTCATTCTATTTGTTAGAATTGAACTATTTGTTGAAACAGTTCAAATTTCTTAAGTTTAATTTGTTTAACATGAGTGAAAAGTAGTTTTTAAGGTTGGAGGGAGTGCTATTTTTACAATTTTTGAAAGAGAGTAAGAGACATAAAATTGTTTCACATCTTCATATGTCAGTTTCAAGAAAGTTGTAGTTCTCATTCGTTCACTATTGGATCATGTTTGCAATTTTCAGAAAATTCTTAACATAGTGTTGTATGCTTTTATCATTGGGATCGTGAATTAGAAGTTTATGTTGAGAAAAATCGATTTCACACAATTGCTCTATTATTGATTTTTCTTCTTCAATTTAACAATTTTATTACTTTGAGGTATTGGTTGGTTATAAGCATTTATTTGTGTATTTAATAAACTCTCTTTATGCCCTTTACTTTATCTTAATGAAACTTAATTAACTAATTTATGTTTGTGGATTTTTACTTCTCCCAATGAGAGGATTTTTCCATGTTAAAATACTTATGTCTTTATGTAAATTGTCATTACTATTATTTTGTCCTTACTCCTAGTTGATTCTTGCAAGTTAAGGAAATTATTTTTACTACATACTTTGGTACTTTTCATCATTTAGTATTGTTGTTTTTTCTATCAAAGTGGATGGTTTGTCTGGTAACCAACTTAATTGAGTATAATTGTAGTAGGTGACCAATCCTTAATTGTAGATCCTTTTATTGAAAATCTTCCTAACAAAGATTTCAAATAAATGAGTCTCATTGTGTTAAACAACCGTACAAGTAAGGTCACTACTAAGATATTTGTGGTTAAGAAATACTTTAACTTGAGAGGGAGGTGAATCAATTTGGAAGAAAATCATAATTGTAAGGAAGATTACTGGGAATCTAAGTGCAAAATTGACATCTCACATTGAGTAGAAATGAAAAGTTGATTAACTTATAATTGAGGCAAACCCGTAACTTAATATTTTAAGACTTTAAGTTGAAGATGGTGTCATATTCTCTTCTATGTTTAACTCATGTTCCATTCGTCAAAATCTCACGATGTTACCCCCCATCAAAGATACCCCTCATAGTGGTATTAGACTTTTTGTTTGTGAAGAAATTGCATCTTTCATTTTTGCTACTCAAAAATCTGGTTCTATGTTTGATGAATTATGTGATGTTGAACACTAACGAGTGTGTCATTTTATTTGAGAACATGTAGAAGATAATGTTTACAATCATATTGCAAATGAGACAAATGCTAGAACCTTGTGGGAGAAAATTAAGTTTTTGTATACTTCTAAGTCATGTAATAATGTAGTTGTTGTTTTGATGAATTTGAGGTATGGGGATGAGTTTTAAGTGCTCTTTGATCAACTGCTAGAAATATGTATCAATTTTGATGATGGAGTTTGAGATTGTGGTTACTGAATACTCTATCGTAATCTTATGAGATATTTCAGGTTTTAATTACAATCTCAACCTTTAATATTATTTTTTTTTAAATGACAAAGAGTGGTGCTCATAATGAAGATATGATAAGGAGAACACATGGTTCTTCATCTCAATCTAAAGTGTTTGTCATAGAAAATAGAGAAAGAAGTTATAGAAAAAGGAATTGAAAGGTGATAAAGAGAAGAGCATATCAATTCCAAGTCAAGATACAAGAATATGGAGTGTTATTATTGTAATAAAGTTTGACACATCAAAAATAATTGTTTTAAATGGATGAAGAAAAACAAAGACAAAAAGGATAAGTAAAAAGAAAATGATCATCATGAAAATCATGTTACCATTATTATAGGTGATGATCTTGTTCTTCTTCATGCTTATGAGTCTATTAATCATGTATTAGATGACAACATATGGATAATTGATAGTGGTGTTACATAATATGTTACTGTAAGGAATGAATTTTTCACGTCTTACCCTCTTGGTAATTTTAGAATGTTGAATATGGGTAATGGTGGTGTATCAAAGGTTGTTGGTGTAGGTCATGTTTACTTGCAAACCAAGATGGTAGTACAATTGTTACTTAGATAAGTTAAACATGCTCAAGATGCTCGCTTTAATCTAACTTTTATGCATTTAATTGATGATAGTGGTTATGACAATCACTTTGACTCTAATAAATGGAAGCTCACTGAGGTAACTTTGTTATGGCTAGAGGGGAAAAAAATTCTAAATTATATTGGATTAAAGCTTTGATTGCTAAGGACAATATAAATGGTATGTATATAGAGACATCTTTGTGGCATTGAAAGCTTTGTCATATAAGTTCAAGAGTGCTTAATTGCTTAGCTAAAAACATATGGTTTTTGGATTAAAGAGTGAAAAGTTGAAGAAAAGTTTTCATTTTATGGCTAGAAAACAAATCAAAATATCCTTCAGAAAGCATTCTCCCTCAAATAAGTCAAAGTTGTTGCAATTGGTACATTTTGATGTTTGTGACCTAATGAAGGTAAAGTCATTTAATGTTGCACTTAACTTTGTTACTTTTATTGATGATTGTTTTAGGAAGTTATGGTTTATGCATTGCAAAGAAAGTACAAAGTGTTTGAAAAGTTCAAAGAATTTCATGCTTTGGTTGAGAGGCAATAAAAAAAGAAATTAAAATGCATATATATACTAATAATGGTGGTGAATGTCATGGACCCCTTGTTGTATATTACAAGTAATATGGTATCAGACATGAATTAAAACTTTTCAGTTGAATGGTCTAGTGGAGAGGATGAACACGACTTTGGTTGAAAGAGTTTAGTATATGCTTTCTGAAGGAAAATTTCTTGAGTATTTTTTGGGAGAGACATTGCTTGCAACAGTACATGTTATTACTCTTAGTCCTATAATTGTTTTAGATACTTAGGTGCTAGACAAAATTTGGTTTGACAAGAATGTCAACTACGATCATTTGTGTTGCTTCATTTGTAAGATATTTGTTCATGTTCCAAAGGATTAAAGATTCAAGTTGGATAAGAAGACAAGGTAGTGTGTCTTTTTTAGTTATTGTCACGATGAATTTTGCTACAGATTGTATGGTCTTGTTGATAAAAAATTGTTAAAATTTGTGATGTGCAGTTCATGGAATATCAAACCATTAAATATATTAATAAGGTGGAAACGATTACACTTGAAAATTAGTATTCTGACTAATGGTAATTCGATGTAGTTGTTTTTTAGCAATCTGAATAATATTGAGATTGATGCTTAGAATGATGAATAACATGGTGATGTTGATGATCAACAAGTTGAAAATAGATTAGAGGTTATGATTGATGGTGTTTAAGGGGAGCATGATATGGTACATGATGATGATCCTAATGATTCACCTAAATTATCACAAATCCCTCTTTGGAGGTCCAATAATCCAAGATAATTGTCTTCTAGATACTTATTTGACGAGTATGTAACCTCTACTA